GACAAGTTGAATTCCTTAACTTACGTAACAATTATTTCATCAATTTTAAATAATTATAAGGTAAATATTTAAAAATCTAATATGCAATCTTCTGTCTCATGAAATATTCTAAGGAAATGCTTTTTCTTTATACTCTACAATACAATCTATTCGTATCCTTTCGTGTCCTCCGACACAATGCATTTGCATAGATTCGAACTTTGTATCTGTCTCTGTAAAAAGAAACGAGCAGTACACACACACAAGATTGTACCTTTCGACAAACCACTTTCGTGCGATCGTTACACCTCGCTCGAGGACAATCTGCTTGAAAAGTTCCCAAACAGTGTCGACATGCTCGAAATCGACGAGTGATCTCTCGTATGACGGATTGTCGAGTTAACCGAAACAGTCCGTCAGAAAATAGGATTACCGAGAACCACACAGTTCCACTGCTTTCGATTCTACCTCGGAATTGCGAAGGAGGGCGCGCGCAAGGTCTCTATACTCCAAGTGACAGCGAATGCTCGGATATTATTCGACACACGCGAATACTCCAGAACATATACGCAAACGCTGTATTTTGTTCATGTATATTCGTTCGCGAACACGATTGGTAGTTGTGTATTTGGCCCGTCTCATCGAGGAGAGTTTCACTAAGGCTAATGATGGTTGAGTGGCTTACTGTTTTGTGAGACGATACGTGTTCCTATCTTCTTCATTTAGTCACTAGGAGTCTTAGATCATTAGTTGGATAAAAGTAATTTAAAAGGTGGATATAAGAAAATAGATGTTCGAATAAATTTGCCCTTTAATGCTAAGAATATAATGTAAAACACGAACTTAAATGTTTATATTTAGTAATTCTCTTCGTACTTAGAAAAATTCCAAAAATTTCGTATAAATTAATATCTAGTTTAATTGACAAATAAATAGAAATTATCTTATATAAAAATTTAATAGAACGTTTGAGAACCGATACAAATAGAAATTAAAAGATTGTTTTATAAAGTTACTTTCTAAATATCCAAAAATATAAGTAACAATACGTAAATGCAACTTATTTTAAATTATAAACCCAATTTGTTCACACATTGTTCATTGTTTTAGATATACTTATTCATTGTTAAATAGAAAAAAAAAATTAAGGTCAACGGGTATTTTTATAAAATTACCAATTAACAAAAACTGCCTCATATTCCTAATATTCCCCAATTTCTTTCCGTTCACACACTTAGCTACAATTGTTTAAAGAACGGTGCTTGAACTTCAGAAAAGACCAAATTAGAAACGAAATCAGAATCCCCGTTAAAAGATCTGTCCATTGTTTACAATAAATTTTACTTTGTTAAAACTTCGACGACTGTACGCGAACGATCTTTGAAAAATATTTTTGACACGATTTTCATCTCAGATCCCTTGACATACTCTTCTCGAAAGAGTGTTACATCTCCGCAGCAACGTTTAATAGGATGTTTATGGTTTAGGGCAGCAGCCTTCAGGAAGATACTCCTTTCGTCGCGCGATAGACGTTTTTCTACCATGAAAATTGCATTCGCCTGCTGTTCGTAAATCTCCGGGGATATTAATAATTGCGAAATCCTGCAGGAAAGGTTGATCCAGTTATCGTGTGGGAGCACCGCTGCTAGATTTTTAAAGCTTTGATGAGCTTTCGAGAAAGCTGCTGATTTAGTTCGTAGATACTCCAGACTTAGCTATTTCGTTCCAATTTTATCCGAAGGTCGTTGATTGCGAACGGAAATTAATGTTTATTTATATCTTCCAAACTTTAATATTTTACTATCTCTTGGCTTTTTATTTATACCTACATTCAGATTTTCTTTATCTGTTCCTACATTTAAAATTTTCATTTTCATTTATCAGTTTTCTTATAGATGAGATGCAATCGAATTTTTTTCTCCACCTACATTTAGATTTTCTTTATTTATATCTACACCTAAAATTTGTATTACACTTTACTAGTACTTTTACCAATAGATGAGATGCAAATAGGACTATAGATATCTAGAAAAAATACAGCCCACTGAATCACTTTCGACTAAATCATTAACCTTCCCTCCAATCCCATATTTTGTGAAAAAAACATTGCAAATATTTATTATATCAATTTCTGTCCGTGAAACGTTTGTGTAGAATCTTTATTCTGAATAATTATTATAAAGAATCAGAATTGCTATTCCTACTTATATAATTATTATTGTCTTCTGTTTTTGAAAAGAAAAAGTAGTCTATTATGTATTTCTTATTATTTATTCTTATTGTGTAATTATCTAACAATAATAGATCAAAATATGTTTCAACTGTATGCTTAAAAGTTATATTCGATAAAACAATTAAAAAATTCGATCTGTATGATAATTTTTATTCATCGCTTGTTATCGAATTACAAATTACAGACGAATGACGTACGTCAATGAAACCATTAATCGCCTCATATTCCGATTTTCAACCCACGAATTAAACAGTTTTTAGATTACAACACGTAGAAAGCCGTAATGCATAAAGGAGTCCGTTGTTGCACGAACGTCTCGAGAAGATCGTGTTTTCAACCTTCTTCAAACGTAATATCGCTCGTAAGGGAGTATCAAGAGATCTCTGTCGCGATAAAATTGCTGCTTCCTCACGAATCTCAAAGATATGCGCAGCCCATCGTTCTTGATTGTTTCTTTGATCCCTATTGTTCCAAGAAAGTAGATGCTGTTATGAGTCAAGAAAAGAAAAACATATTTTGACCGTATCTGAAATTTTGTAACGATACTTTCGGAAAAGAGACTAAAAATAATACTTGAACCGTAATAATATTTGGTATCGAAACATTCTTCGTACATCGTATTTTTGTTTTTGGAATTTTTCATATTTTTGAGTTCAACGGTATTAAATGCGAATAACAAAAAAAAAAGATATTAGGAAAGCTTCAAAATTACAAAATATTATTTTACCTAAAATTTATTAGGCGAAACTATACTAACGCATGTGTGTTATGATTCCACGATAAGATGTTAATTAGATTATTCAAAAAAGAAAAGGAACTTGGTAAAATTTCGTATAATTTTTAATTCATGTAAATAGACGAAACAAAATTTATTCGCGCGTCAGATTTATTTATTAAATAATCTTTAACCAAATATATTCCTTACATCTTCTTTTTTGAACTTTACAAAAGAAAAAAATATAATATACGAAGAAAAAATTCTTACCAAAATTCTTCATCAGACAAGTATATAATTTTTGTATGCTCGTAAGGAAGAAGTTTCATGAAAAAATTCTAATTAACAAACAATTCATATAACGAGTCAAGCTCGAAATAGTCAACGACCAGTTCTCTTTACATTTATTAATAGTTTCTGAGGATGTTTAGCTATTTAATAAACTCAACAAAGTTGTGGAAACACATGTTCATCCTACAATAAGATAAGAATGTTAAATTATACACAGTTTGATACCCTGCATTTGCTTAGAGTCTTACATTTGAGTAAAATTCCCCTTGGTTTACACGGAAATTTCCAACTAGCGTGTTACAACGAGCATAAAGTCTGACGCGAATCGTATTTTGTATTAAATTGTTTCAATTTGGAGCTTTACGACAGCAAAACAGCAGTAAATTTTATAATACCGTGCGGATTTTATCTTTTCTTTTAGTTGCACAAAAGATACTAACGAGCAACATTTATTAAATACCATTTTGTATTTAGTAATTCTTAACTAAGCACAGGAATGAAGATTTTATCGAATTATTTTATTACATGTTTAATGAAGTTAAACATAAAAATTTAATTGGGAAATTTTATAAGTTATAAAGTTTGTACGTTAAGTAATTCATTGAGTTTTGATTGATATAAAGATAAAGTTGCTTCGATAAATTGCTTTATTAGATTATGATTATCTAAAATGCAAAATTTATCAACGTTTCAAAAATTAGATTTAAATTAATCGTTTATTGGATTTTAAAAGATCTTTAAACCGTCATTGGAATTTATTCATCAAACTAGACATGTATATTATTTGAATATTTCTTCAAGCTTTTCCAAACTCAGTGAAAGCTAAAATGTTGATTCATCTCTGTTAGCCAAATGACTATTTGGCTTGAAATTGTATAGGATATGTTCTCTTGCAGATCAGTGTTCTACCTACGACCAGATATACGTTGACAGGTCACGTTAAAAGATGTATGTACGCGGAGATGTGCCACAGTGATTTATGGATTCCACGTCGAAATGAACGTGTCGTTTGTTTCAATTAAACATGGTATTAGAACGCTTTCAGACAGATTCATTGAATACTTAATCAAATTGTAGTTGTCTTTAACAATTTAATCCTATAATAAATATGTGTACACAGTTATTTACAAATTTAGTATCGATACAATTTTTCGAAAATGAATGAAAAAAAAAAGATAATAATACAAACTTTGCGTCTATACTATATTATAACTTAAACGTAACTTTTAAATAAAATAATAGTCGAATGAAATACATATCGATAATTCTTTTAATTTAATCACTGAAAAATTTTCATTAATTGTTTTATATCTTTATATATTTTCTATATTGTTTATATCTTATTTTAAGCTTTCGACTCGATTTCGATCAACAATTCACCGATACATAAACCTAATGTACCTGATCGCGAAGTATTTCGAAGTATAAATCCGTCGATACTGCATTTCGGATAATTTTGCTAAACGAAACCATGCGATTATTGTATTTGTAGGATGGTTTAATTAATATTTACTTATGCGAGTTTGCCCGGCAGTTTATAGATACGGAGACAGAATTAAATTGGTTTTCGGTAATTAACTAGGCACCTGTTGATTTAAAGTAACATTCTGGGAAACATTGACAAGGCCCGCGTACGCACGTATATTATAATTACTATAGAAGGATACTGGACAGAAAATGCAGAACGGCTGTTCGATGTTGTTCATGGAACGTTCCACCGCACCTTGTATTTTTCTTTAAATTGTCACTGGGTTTTTTGAGCTGTCTTCGTCATGTTCACAGGGAAACATCTGGCAGCAGCTTCTCTCTTTCCACTTCATCCTGGAACTAGTCAACACCATTCCGTTCACGATCACGGTGAGTCGTTCACTCTCTATATTTTCTACATATAGCTTTTTAACAATTTGACACATCCTTTTGCTTTGTATACTTTGTGTTAGATATAAGATAGTAATACGTACATTCGTATATTATACTTTAATATAGTGTTTTTTCTTTTTATTTATTTCTTGTCGATAGAATAAAAAAATTAAAAAAAGCGAATGACTGTACGTACTTAATAATGTATATAATCAACGATACATTGCTTCTCTAAAAGATATTAAACGAAGCAGAAATAAAGTTACAAGGAAACAGGAAAATGAAATCGTATTTCACAGACATTTCACGAATATAAAGAAAATATCGTAAGAATAGCTGAACAATTTGCCCATTACATTTTCCAAACGTTGAGACAGAAGTACATAAAGCCATGAAACGGTTTATTAAGACACGGTTTGATAAGAAAGAGGAAGGAAAAGGTCTCTCGGGCGTTTGGAGCCTGCGGCAGACAATAAAACGAATTATATCAACCGTGTGATTTCTTCTGAATTCCATTCCACCGAGAAATCCATAAAAATCTACCTGTTTTACGTCCCTTCTGCACGCAATATCAAAAGATTCTAATGGAGCTTTATTGGTCGAATCTCGAACCACGATATATAGCCGATCAGCCATGGTTATGTTAACGAGCTATCATACCGAAAGAGTAAAGAACTTGTTGCTTTGCATCGACTCGATATATAATGTCGATGTATACAGATATATACATGGACGCTTTTTCCGAACTACATATGTAAAACTAAAAGTTTATAACAATTGAGAACCACATAGAAAAATTGTGACAAGTAATTTTTTCGATCTTTAAACTTTCACGTTGTTTAAATAACTAAAAAAAGAAATAGAAATTTCATACTTTATAATGGAATTATTTAATAATAGATAGGAAAAGAAGAAAGTAGGGAAAGAAAGTAAAGAAAGGGAGCCTAGCCTCTAGTATGCTATTGCTCTTACTGAGTTCTAGAAAAAGTGAGTCGATATTTAACAAACTTCTGACTATTAATACATTCGCAATTTTGATCAAATAAATTGACGACCATGTTTAATGGCTGCTGAAATATCAATTTTTAATAAATTGAAAATTCTTAATCACGATTTGAGGAATTTGGTAGTATTAATTTAATAGTATTTCTTCAACGCGTAGGATAAATTAGATTCGATCTTCGTGTATCGATCTGTTCCCTATTGGGACCAACCCTGATTTGAAAGCGAACAGGATTTAACAACATCAGAGGATTGTGCACGGAATTTAATTGGCTCAGACTCATTAGTATTGTGTCACCTCGGTGACATTTCAGCAAGTCCAGTAAATCCCAAGTCATCGCTCCTTAGAACTATAATCACTCGTAAAATATTTGTTCTATGGAACGTAAATAAATCTGGTTTTAAGAAAAATGTAACCCGTTAACAGTAGCCATACGATAGTCATTTTACAATAGAAATTTTACAAAATGTGTACAAATGTGTCTAAGCCAATGTGTGCATGTTAAAGACATCGAATTATTGATTGTATCAGTTAACGATTTTCACAATTTTTTAATATCAAAATTATTGTTTTAATTAGTTTTTGTACGTTAAGTTTTAATATAAAATTTCTTTTAAAATTTGAAAATTGAAATTAAAAATTTGTTCTGTAAAAAACACCGTGTAAAATAAATTAGATAACGCGTGCAATATCAAAATATATATTGCGAAATGAAAAATTATGAATTAATTTAAAAATTATTATATATTATACAATTTTTATTGACTGTTTTCTGTACATGTATATGGTGATTCGAACAAAATTAAATGCTGTTTATATGGAACATCTCACTTAATTCGATAGTAGATTAAAAAGATGAGGACTCTCGATATATAATTATGTTTTGTTTTTGCTACATTCTGAACAACATTAAAATTACGTAAAAATAAGTGCAGTTTCATTTTTTAGGTCAGCATTTACATCACATGACGAGCTATTCGTGACTTTCGAGCGTGGCTTATACTTTTTTTTTAACGACTTTTATTTTTAAAAAGTCTGTCATGAGAACTTCTTTTCCCTTTTACGTTAATGATCATTTACGATTATGATCATCTAACTGGCAGTCTATAAGCTTCAATTAACTTATGAACTGATGCCAATAGCTCACGAACTTTCTAATTAATCACGTATCTAAACATTAATCACATCTTTATGTAATTTCAATTCAATTCTCTAAGTGTGAAAGTTACCAATTCTATTTCATTTCATATTTTATATTAGCGTATTTATAATTTGAAAATTTAGGATATAGTATCTTTATTTGAGGTTCCAAACTTTTCAAATCGTACATATTTTACATTTTTTTATATACATTTTTTTCGAAATTTATATTCGTCATCAACGAAATTTCTTACATAATCTCGCTTCCTTTCTTCCAAAGAAATGTTACATGGATGTATGGAGTATCTGGAGAAAACAGTGATGGACGCTAATTGCTGTCACCTTGAAGCATATTTGTTCTTCGATGGTAGAGAAGCGAGAACAATAGGCAAACTCATTATTCTTGCGTGCATTTACAGTTGCGTTTGCAAATATATATATTCGATGGAATGTGTATGAGATGAGTCTTTCGTTTCTTAAATTACCTTTCCACAAAAATTATTCTGTTTACAAATGATACATAAGTACAGATTAAAATTAGTTCAATATCTGGGCCCTCTCGTATAATAATTTATTAACTAATATATTAGCAAATTGTACTGAGTGTGGACCATACACTTCTGTTGAACGAATAATTTTTTATAATTTTATGATTTTATGTTGAACAAGACGATTAAAAATCACTTTTAAATTTTTGTTTCATTACCAATCTTGTTACTGCTATATACAAAAATTTATTAATACCAACATAATTTTGCTCATAATGTTTAAATGTCTTTTGGTAATAATTATATTAAACGATATCTAGTTACTTACAGTAAATTATTACACAGTAATGTTAGTAGCAAGTAGTATGATTAGTAGCAAATTATTAATTATATTTTTAGCTACTTTATCCACCAATGCGAAATCTGTTCATCCCGGTATTCCTAAACTGCTGGTTGGCAAAACATTCATTGCAGAATATGTTCGTAAGTAATTGACATATACTATTTAATATTAAATTATTCATCTTCATCTCGTTATCATCGATACTCGTGTTTCAGAACGATCTACACAGAGCTATGCAAAAGTCCCAATCAGCTTTAAGTCAGCAACTTATGATCCTTAGTGCAACGTTACTGTGCCTTGTCTTTACTAGGTGAGTAAAATTATAAATTATTCTAAATATTTATTATTAAAATAATAGAAATTTAGAAATTCAAATGTAAGTCAATAATTCTTTTCATAAAAATATCAACACGTATAATTTCACCGTATTGTGAAATAGGATGTAACACTGTTCAAAGTAATTTATTCAACTTAAAGGTTTCATGATAGACACTAAATACATAATCTTTTGCTTATAATAAAAAGAAAAATATTTTCTCGATTTTCGTAAATTTACAAGCATACGTAAATTTCGTTTTCCGATTATAAACAAATAATATTTATCGAACAGAAGCATAATCATCTTGTGTAATGAAATAGTCTCTATCTTTCCTTTAATAACTTCTGTTTTCTTCGATGCAACGAATGAACGAATTAAAATTCCGTCTTCGCGCTGGTCGACTTTTCTCTCGGTTCCTTAGCCGTCCACAACAATTATGTAAGTTTATCCAAAGCGCATGTTACGTGGCTTGCATACAAGTCATATTACATTATCCAAATAACGAGGAAACTTTGCCAATCAGGAACAGACGCTTCCATTTACGAATTCTCAGATTTCCTGGACGGTGTTACGATTTAGACAGAGAAACAATGATGCCAGGCTTAATTTCCTCGAATCAAAGATTCTTTCGTCGAATTTATGACAAATCTTGATACATCTTGACAACAAAACAATCAAGATACATCTTGATAATTACAAAAAAAGATATTAAATTTGGTATTATAAAAGTAATTCAGAAATTTCAAGACATTTATTTAGAATTTTCTTTTAATTTCCATTTCAAATAATTATTCTTAACATGCAGTTCTCACTTTTATATAGATGCGATACAAGATTATTATATCTAGTAAACGCAATTTCAAATCTTCTATCAAAACTCATTATACCATTCTAAATGCAGTGCATTTGTTCGAGTAGTTAGACGTTGCTCGAGCGATAAAAGGCAATATTCCAGGAAACTCGAAAATTATCAATTAAAACCAAAGAATAACTATAATTCCGCGTACTTGTTAAATCTATAATCTATCTGGGATATTCTCTTAGAGGGTTCAATATGATGTTTTATCCATTTAGAATGAATGACGATGTATATAATAACATTCGCGTAGGATTATTGATAATTCAAGATACCTCAGTGGACTAACACCAGCATTTCATTTCTCCCGTACGTATGATTAACTTGCTCCTTTGCCTGAGAACCACGAAAAGTTAACTTTGATGTTGGTGTATTTATTATGCGAATGACGTCAAATAATATTCTATGCTTGAGAATTATGTAAAATTTCCTGCATCCATGTTATCCAACACCTGTATTTTGTATTATTTAATGAGATAAACGGAAAGTTAAACAACCAGTGGGATAGCTATTTTCTATTCAGTGATGATCTCGACACTCTCGATATTGCTTTATCATTCAACAATTGTTACTGTTCGTTGAAAGAAATTTGGTTATGTAAGGAAGTAGAATAAATATCAGAGATATCTTAACATTTGGACTTGTAGAGCATACATACATACACGTACATACGTACAGCGTTTATAGAATATATATACCAAGCTTTTTAACTAAGCTTTCTTAATATATTCTATAGATATGAATAACAAGAAAGATGTTATATAAGCACACTGTAACAATAGTTATGAATATTCCAGTATGGTCCTTTATTTCGGACTACTTCTCATCATGAGCCTTGTCATTAAATCTGCCGACATCGACGTCAATTGAAAGTTAAGATTTGTCCAAGATAGTACACGTTGAAACCTACGTGGAAAATCGATACGCAAAGGTGTTAACACGCGTACATATGCACATTATTGTACATATGTATGCAATATCCTCGTAAGGATTACGATCGCGCCACGAAGGGATGAAACTTGCCTGATTGACCCAGATCGCAATGTGGGACAAATGTTAATAAGTAATCGTGGCGGCTCGTGCAGATGGATTGGTATCGCCATCGATCGTCCTGATTCATTATTTACGGTGTAATTCTAGAACGGCGTACTTGTAAGCTCGCCCTTGCCACCGCGACTTGGTCGGATGTCCCCTATCTGTTGGCCGATCACGGCATTATTCGGAAGTCGTTTCTCAAACGGGGGAACGAGGTAAGGTGCACGTACTTACGTTGTCACGGTTAGCCTATGTTCGTTCGTTCCACGGTGAAATATTTTGGGAACGCAGCCGTGGCATAGAGAAACGGCTACGTTTCAAGGGAAAAGACGCTCGAGTCGAATTGTTTCCGAACATTTGTAAAGCAACGCAGAAACTTGAGTTTCACGAGTTTTGAAGAGTATAAATTACATCTCTGTATCGAATCTCTGTTTTTTAGATTTTTATGGGCTATTGGATTCTTGAAAACGAGATAAATTATTTCTAACTTATTTTAAATCTCTATCCTCTCTTATCGTTTGTCTCTGTTAATTTTGTTGTATCATCTTAAACCTTGTTCTTTTAACGTGAATTCATTATATACAGGGTGGTTGATAACTGGTGGTACAAGCGGAAAGGAGGTGTTTCTACGCGAAAGAAGAAGTCGAAAATATAGAATAAAAATTTTTCGTTTGAGGCTTTGTTTTCGAGAAAATCTACTTTGAACTTTACTATAACGGATCTCACTATAGATCGTTGTCTTGATGGAAAAATGATTTTCTCGAAAACAAAGCCTCAAACGAAAAATTTTTATTCTATATTTTCGACTTCTTTTTTCGCGTAGAATCACCCCCTTTCCGCTTGTCCTACCAGTTACCAACCACCCTGTATAATAATAAAGAAAACAAGTTAATCTTCAATATTAATAAAAAATGAATCCGTTGATCGATAATTCCTTAAATTAAACCAAATTCGATAAATTCGATGGTAAATTGTAATAATTCATGATAACTCTCAGGTACTCTGAGAGGTCTAACAAGGTTTAGGATGATACAACAAAATTAACAGAGACAAACGACAAGAGAGGATAGAGATTTAAAATAAGTTAGAAATAATTTATCTCGTTTTCAAGAATCCAATAGTGCATAAAAATCTAAAAAACAGAGAATTCAATAATATAAACGAGTCAAACGCTGCTCATCCTAATTACTGCGTAACGTATAATCTGTTTCACGATCACGTATTTAATTACTGCGAAATGTCAAGCATTTACGTTAACGTGCTTTTTAATTCGTTACAAAACAAACCTGTTCAACCTGTCACGTTACATTTTTTATACGAAACAACGAAACGATAACGTTAACCTGGTAACAGCGCGGCGAAATTATGCGTACAGCTTGCGCACATTCGTAAATAGCACGCGCCGGTTAATGAGCGAAATTTATTATCTTCTGGTCCAGTTATTGCGCCGGACCAGACGTTATCTATTTCACTGTCACTGTGAAAATCGCTTGACGTTCGCCTTACGAATGGGCTTGTCGCGCTTAGAAGATGTATAGTTGCCGCCACACTTCGTTAGAACGACTACTTGTAGAGTTTACAAGGAACAGGCTCTGCTTATAAGCTGCATTCTCGGAGTTGAAAGGAACGAACAACTCTTCTACACAATCAATATTGATAATGCGGCAGGGTTAGCGTGCCTGCGTTCTTGAAAATAGATAGAATAAGTGAAACGCGCTATAAATGATTATCGTTACCCTGGACGAAATTTTGTTCTACGAAAAGCTACCTACATTCATGTCTAAGGAAAATTTACTAAAGATATTTGATTGCTCTATAAACGTGATGTTTTTATACAATCATCGAGTTGCACAATAATTCCTGTTGTTTATTATTTATTCTGCTATCTAAATCTATATTCCATATCTATATCTTATTTATATTGCTAAATGATGAAAGAAATGTAATTTCGACTTATCGTTTCGACAAAGACATTACGATCTCCGTAATAAAGTCTCTTCAATTTTTCATGAAAATATCTTTTAAATTTTGTCCGATTTTGAAGATCAGAATTTTTATTTCGAAACCGATCGCATCACATTGCGCATGATACGCAACAAGATATATTGTACTGCATAATCCTTGTAAATATTCTGTAATTATATGGCAGAAGAACGATTATCTAGTTAAATCATGAAGTTGTCGATCTTGTGGCAAATCTTTTTATAGGATCAGCCAGTTTGTGGCTACGTTCGGCGACCAGTTGTGTCACCTCGAGCCTAAGCCCACTGTCACAAATCTGGGGCAAACATAATCAGATCCTATCACAACAACTACTTCTAAGTTCTATTATTCAAGTACAGCTATAATAAATAGTTTAGACCAAAGTATTGGGGATCTTCCCAAAGTTCCAAAAGAAAGGCCCGATGTCTCTACATCTCCGACATATTTCATTGTTTTGACGAACTATTTCTCTAACAGATGATACGTTTGAAATTTGTCAAAGCACGAATCTACGATAGCTTAAGTCGACTTGACAGGTATTTTAGGTATTTTCTGGAAAATTAAACCAGTTATCATATCTCAATATAAAATCTGAAAGTACGTCGATCGACGCGAAGTTACCTGCGGTATCGATACCACACTGTGGGAGTAACTAGAATCGTAATAAACGTGCAAACGATTTTGAGAAACAATGCGGTTTTGAAACGAGGAACGAGTCCGAAAGCGTGAGGATAGTTTGGATATTTGTTGATACACATGAACGCATTCGAACGCGAAACGAAAGTCGTCCAATTAAAAAAGCAATATCGTTCCTCTCCTCTCGCTATTCAACGTTTCTTTGTTTCGTTTTTTTTTCCTTTTTATTTCGGTTGACTCGCCAAGCAACGTTTTCGAATGGGAATACTAAATCGCGGGTCAAAATGTGCAGTGAAAATTCGTACGCACGAATCAGGCGATTTTGTTTGGACGTTTCGTTTGAATTTCCATAAATAATATGTTGAAGTGGTCACCACTCCTAAGAAAACTCTACATCTGGTCTTTTTAGTTTTCTTAAGCACTGAATCCATCGACAGTGTGTAGACAAAAAAGACTGCGACGAAGACAGACCACAAACAGTAGACAGGCAACGTTGGCTTGGGGGTTTTCAGTTATTGGGTAACACAGCTAGCGTGCGGATCTGGACCAGCTGAAATTGTATTCTTACTTATAATTACACTTCTATTTAAATATATTTTCTGCCTTACAATTTATCCACGAGTTTTCTCTGTTTATACATCGAATAACCTCAATATAATATAATGCGAATATTGCCTTGAGTAGGGCCAAATTGATCAATTCCATTCGATAATGATCTTTACACGGAATATCTTACAACGTTAACGAATGCAACGAAAGCGAAGGAATTCAACGTTTCAAAATTGTTCCCTTTTTTGCTGGAAAAGCAACCACGTTGATAAAGGGTATTCCTTTGAGGGAAGTAGATCTATCAACTGTTAACAAAACTAATCAAAAAAGCTTATATTATATTGGAACAGTTCTAAAAATAAAGAAGATAAAACTCCTGAAACCTCCTATCGTCGAAACATTGAAAACAATTGTCTGAAAGAATCCTTAAGTATTTCTTTAAATCCAGCGATTACATCTTACGCGATACCGTTAAATTTATTTTAATTTAAAACACTTGACGGAAACATGAGAAGGTATTTGAAATACATCTGTAAATAAAAAAGGACTCATTATACAATCACCTCGTTATAGTATAAAAATAGTTGGTTAAACACGAACAGAAAGAGAAAAGACCAATTCGCACAAATATAAACTCGATACAGATATGAGAACGAGGCCGCATGCATAATACGAACTGCTGTCGTTTCTAAATGTTCTTCGTTAGAAAGAGTTCGCGTTTACCGAACGAGGTAAACGTTTTTTTAACCGCCAAGTTTCAACGATCCTTTTACTCTCTCGAGGATGAAAGGACATCCGATGGTATCCCTTGATGTTCGAGAAATACGAACTACTAATTGTACAATCGGTTCCAGCCGACTATAAATCATACATTGGCCGATGTAAGGCCAATTGAATTATTCTCGTGTCCGTAAATTATCGTCTCTGAAACATGGTAACTTGAATGAGCGACGAAATCTGTGATCTCGTGATTCGTAAAATGTTTTAATGATTCGCGTTTTAATTTGCCTGTTTCAGCGTATGTGGGATTCAACACTTCCAGAGAGCGGGGCACAGGCATCTGAATCTGTTTCAAAGCACATATTACGTTGTAGTCACGTTTTCTACGGTCGGTTACGGGGATTTTGTACCTGACATTTGGCCCTCGCAGCTTTACATGGTCATCATGATCTGCGTTGCTCTCATAGTTCTACCTACTCAGGTATGTGTTATGTTTTACGAATTATAGTTTTGCTGATATTTCATCTATTTCTTAATTAACTGTGAGGAAATTGATAGGACAGTAATATATCAATAGCTGAATTTCATATTAATGTCTCGTGTTATATGCGATAACTACTAATAAATTATTCAGTTTAATTTTGCATTCGTGCAAAACGTTTTTACGACAATTGACACAATTTTCCGCTGTACGAAACGTCACAAAGACAGGAAGTGTTCGACTATTACTTTCTGCTATTCTAGCGATATTTATCGTTCGGTGAGTAACCAGTCACATGAAACTTTATTTCCCTTTTAACGACGAATGTTACGACAGAAACGATGCGACGCGTGCGTTTGCTGACGATCGTAAAAGCGCTATCGATTTTCCCCTGATCATTGTCTGACGAAAATCGAAAGGCATGAGACTTTTATATTCAAGAACTTAATGGTCGGGAAATTACTTGAACTTAATGGCCACAAATTCCTATATGGCAATTGAGATATCAGAAACTTAATGTTGTGAGATTCGATACGTAATATAAAACTCCATCTCTTAATTGTTGGAATTTTATTTGGGATACTCTCAACGGATATCATTGCGCTATAGTCGACTATAAAAAATGTGAATTAACTTTATGCTGAATTACTTAATTTTAATTTATACGTTGTATTTCGTGGTATTTCATAATGATAAATATCCCTGGTAATCTTTATCGTGTTATATTTCTTATATTAAGTTAATTAATTTCAGGATATTTAACTCTAATTTGTATTCTGTATTTTATACAATAGAATGGTGATCTTCGTGATTTGAAATACAGAAAACAAAGGACTAAATTTCACCGATTGAACGATCTCTTTAAATTTACTGAAATATAATTTTTCTAGATTTCATAAGTACGCTATTCACCGCTGCGTCATCGTGTCAAGTGACACATTGAATTATTATACATAATCTATATTTAATAAGCCCAGTTTGCAATTCAAATTTAAACTAAAACGCGATACCGACACATCTCTCGAGTTCAAGTACACATAATCCTTTTTACGAGTGTGTTACGGTATAATAAAACAAGCGAGTAAGACAAGTACTTATATCTTGACTAAACTAAATTTAACTAAACTCAACTAGACTCAACCAAATTAAAACACTAAAAGTAAAAAGTAATCTCTCTCCATATTCGTGTCATCGATCGTTGCGTTAATTAATGATTGAATAAGCAAATAGCTAATAACCGTTAATATGGAATGTTATTTGAAGCTCTACGAATGGTTGCAATGATATAAAGTCAACGATGTATAATACGTATACTGCTTGTATAACTGTGAATATAATTGTAAATGAAAGGTACAGCTAGTTATCATCATAAATGACTTCGCTACAGTAATTAATCTACGCTATAGAAGTAAATAGCGTCGCATACAAAACTCATTGCCAGCCCTTTGTGTGTTTATGAAAGGATTCATAAAATTTCGATGTGTAACGTGTAATCTAATTAATGTTCGTCGGTAACAAACGTTTAATTAAATCCTTTATGGTGGCGGAAACTAACCTAAATACCCTATCCTACTTGTTGACCGAAATCATTGACTAATGACAGTAGGAGATATCAAAGGCTAGCTGTCGGTTGATGGCACAGATTGCGATGACAGCGATAAACGTGCGATTCAGCCGTCAGGACTGTCGATGACGTATAATACGCGAATATTGTGATAAAAGGAACCCTTAGGATACAGATACATCTACACAATGAATTAGAATTGACAGAATTTAATGACTTAATATAATTTTCGTAATGTAATGTTATTATTTTAATCGATATTTTTCAATCTGTTATATTGATCTCAAATAATTGTAAAATTACGATAATTCTTCGAACGATGGTATAGTTTTATTTGACATTTATTTTGAAATAAAAATAAATTTCGATAAAATTATATTTAACGATTCGCAATGAAAATTAGAAATCTTTTACTGCAAAGAAAAAATAAGTATAGCAAGTTTTTAAATTGTTGGAATTTAAAATTCAGAAAATCTCTCTTTCGGTGAAAACTCTAGAAATTTGTCAATATATTAGGTTGTCCGAAAAGTGTCTTTCCTTTACAGACACATCTTTCACAACGACGCATCTTTCATCAACATCAGAACAAAATGGATCATACGTAATTCGATAAAATAATATAAAACGAAAAATGATGTGCATCCATTATTTCCTTATAGAACGAAACAGACTTTTCGGACGACCTAATAATTTGTTACAACTCTAAAAGTACTTTCGAAATTGATTTTTTATCTCCATAAAAGTTGTCCTTGCATTTTACTCGAAAAAATAGGGAATACGATTATTCTACAATAATTATAGTCAGCCAGCTAATAAATGACAAGTAGCTTTGTAGTGACATCCGAAATTTTTCCAACAGTTTGAACAGTTGGCTTTCACGTGGATGGAAAGACAAAAACTAGGTGGCTCGTATTCCTCGCACAGAGCGCAAAGCGAGAAACACGTGGTGGTATGTAGTACAACGCTGCAAGCCGACACCATCATGGATTTTCTAAATGAATTTTACGCCCATCCCCTTCTACAGGTGAGAAATTCGATCGTGTAATTACTCTTGGCCGATTTAATTTCCTTCTCGATTTTCTTCTCCATTTTCCTCCGTTCTACTGACATAGTACGCTATCAAATTTACAAATTCCATTTTAACAATTATAATTCATTACCTTATTATTAAAGTAATTAAAGTAAAATGTAAACCAACATCTTAACAATATCAACGCTAATATCAATTATAACGCTTAGAGTTTCGGTATATTCTTGACAAAAGATTCATGAATTTAATTATAATTAGGACTACTACGTTGTATTATTGTCACCTATGGAGCTGGATACCACGATGAGAATGATTCTACAAGTGCCCATTTGGGCGCAAAGGGTAATCTATATTCAAGGATCGTGTTTGAAAGATAGTGATCTTACCAGGGCGAGAATGAACGAGGCCGAAGCCTGCTTCGTTCTTGCTGCGAGAAATTACGCTGACAAAACCGCTGCTGACGAGCACACGATACTCAGGTCAGTTTCGTTCGAAGAATTGAAAAAGAAAAGAAAAATCGTACATGAAACATTGATAAATTATTAACTTATTGGACGATTAATTTTTAATAATTTTATACACACGAACAATATGTGACTAACATGTCATACAATATACAATAACTTTTCCCATTGACTGAGAATAAAGAAGAATGTCTTATCGATATTTCGATGATCGGCAACAGATCGTGGGCAGTGAAGGATTTTGCACCAAACGTTCCTCAGTACGTACAAATCTTCCGTCCGGAGAACAAACTTCACGTGAAGTTCGCGGAACACGTGGTGTGCGAAGACGAATTCAAGTACGCCCTTTTGGCGAATAATTGCACGTGCCCTGGTGCTTCAACCTTGGTTACTCTTCTACTGCACACTTCCAGGGGACAGTAAGTATAAAAGCGAATCATTCTATTGAAAGAATTACACAGAAATCAATCAAATAGTGTTTTGTCATGGCAAGTCATTCATTTTATTGGAAGTTTATTGGAAGCCATAAAGTTTATTGGAAGAAACTGATCGGTCTGTCCCTGATTTTTTAGAGAGGGACAGCAATCGCAAGAAGAGTGGCACAGGCTGTACGGTAAATGTTCCGGAAACGAGATTTATCACATTATTCTCGGAGATTCTCGATTTTTCGGCGAGTACGAGGGTAAATCCTTCACTTACGCGTCCTTTCACAGTCATCGTAAATATGGGGTGGCATTAGTCGCGGTCCGCCCAGCGGAACTTCCGGAATTTTACGAAGATACCATCCTTTTAAATCCTGGTAATTTTCGAATATCGTATAATTCACGCATGATATTCTCGCTCTTATACGTATTCTCACACTCAAAATCAAGAACCACGTAAATAACAACTAGCCCCAACATATCACACCGAAAGACGTATTTTTTTTTCAAAAACGTATAAAATCTTTTATTTAATTTCTTAACTATCAAAATCTACCATCGATCGAGGTTCTCAAAAATTATCTAACTCGCTTCAATGTATCACAAGGTCCGCGACACATAATGAAGAAAACGGACACCTGTTACTACATGAGCATTACAAAGGAGGAGAATTCGGCGTTCGTGGTGGCGAACAACCAAACTGGAACCGTGGCGGAGGGTACGCAAGTGGTCGTAGAGACGAAGACCGATGGGACCGGAAACATGAACAGTAATTCGGCCAGTAACACAACAACGAACAACACCACTACCACGATGAACTCTGGCACAGGGGCAGGCACTACGACGACAACGACGACGACGATCTCTACCAGCTGCACGATCGCCGGTGGTGATGGGAACGGTACTGCAAACAAGCCCGGTGCCAACGAGCACCATCGTTATTCCAACAGTTGTAACAATGCGCTGAACGAAACAGCTTGCTGCAGACAGGAGACGACCTGCACGGGGCCCCGTGGACAGAACGTACACGGTACACAGGCACACAGGGCCCCACAGGTTATTTTGCAGGTCCTCCCTAGCACGCCCACACCACTCGAACACCACAACATACTCGCATCCAATGTCCACCGTGAGTGTCGCATGCGCTTGCCCTTATCTTCTTTTCTTTTATCTTACTCTCTTTTTGGTATTGGTTCTCGTTGTTGTTCCTTTCGTCTTTTTCATCTGATTTTGGTGATACGATTTATAGCTGTACTTTGATATATCCGTTTTCCCTTCTTTTATATCGGTGGACAATTTAATCTTACGCAAGGATATTTGGGCATTTTTATACGTTATCGGAAGAAAGTTGGAAGGGCAGGATGAAGTTAGTACGATTATTAATGAATTATCGTTGTAAGAAAGATAAGAAGAGTATCTATGATATTAATGACAAATGGTAATGTTTCATTTATTTCGCGTTATGCGGTAGAAATAATGAAGAACGATAGAGTGGATTTGGTTCTAACGATGCCTCTGTATATTAGGATTTATAAATAATTAATTTGTCAAAGAATATAGTTTAATATAACTTAGATAAGACTATAACTTAGATAACTTAGATAGATATAGTTTGAGAAAGTATTAGATTTAGGGAATATTTATTGAATAAAAATTAGTTATGGAATTAACTGTAAGAAGCTTCGAACACATTATCATTTAATTCTGTGGAAAAATGTATTCAACAATTATCACAAATTTATAACTCCGTCATTTTATACAGCTCCGCTTACAATTATATATTTTATACCATAACGTTACAATATAAAAGATCTTGATAAATTAATGTTATCAAATTTTCTGTGGGTTGTAAATGTATTTTACGGTGGATTCTTTTTAGAGAAATATGACGTCAATTTATATTTGCATAGTTAAAATAATTGGTACACTTATATTCTTCGTATCATTTATGAGAAAGATTTATGAAAAAATATGTTGTATAAATTTCAACAGAACGATAAATCGATCGACGTAGTATAATAATGTAAGATTGATCAGGGTTTCATACGTACCAAATGAATAATACATATATTAGACGCAAATGTTATGAATTTATGCTGCATTAGACTTTAATATGTTAATTTTGTTGGTACCGATCTCTCTCATTAATTACATTTCTGTCGCAGTGTAACTAATTTACAGTTCTGCATGCAGTAGATTGGAACGTATAAAAGCAGATAGAAAGTTAATATGTATGAAATTATAAATGACTACCTTACAGCATTAATTGCTAAATTACTTTCTTCTTTTTAAATAAATAGTTCCTTGTTTTATCTAAAGATATTTTTATTTTCTTAACTCAGTTTGCTTGTACTAACCGTTTAAATTGTATTATTGATAAGAATAACAAATAAACATCTAAGCTTAGTAGCATGGCTTTATAACTTAATGCAATGTTTTTGCATTATGTAAATGTTCTTTTCTCTCGTGACTTGTAGATGCATGTTACTATATAAAAAAAATACGCATGCATAGAATTGAAATTTATGTATAAGAGTTTTTACTCCGAATATAATTTAACTCGAATTAACAACACTGACACATTTTATTCCTTTATTATAATTCCTTTATTTTAAACCTTGGTGGATATCCAAATAAAAAAATATTTTAAGTGCTTAACATTAAATAATAATAAAATCTTCTATGTGATCCGCTATGTAATTAAAATATAGACGAACTGTTTCCTACTTTCTTTTCTTCTCTTGAATTCAAAACGTTCGCATTATTTTAATCACTAATGAATGGACTCCATAAACATACATACCACAAAACAGCGTTGAAAATTACAAGAGCGAGGTATTTAGCTTGCAAATAATAATCTTCGATCAAAATAAAAAAATTACCACTATTACTTCGCATTATAATAAAATTACTAAATACGTAGAAAAATTCTAACTGAAGATATGTAACATCTTAATTTATTTTTCAATATCACTTATCAAATTGAACAGATATTAAGGAGAAAAAGATATTAAAAGAAACGGTGCGTAATTAATTGGTGATAAAAGAATAAAATATACACAGAAAATGTAAACTATTGAAAATAAGTGGACAACAGTACACAGTTTTGAAAATTCTTTAATTTACACATAGACTAATATTTCTTCATGAAGTGTTTTAAAGGATATTTTTTTATACCCTCTTTTTATCAGTCATGATGAACGGACTGTATTTTTATTAGAAACTTTTTTATATTTTTAGGAGATGTATGTAAATAATTGTTAATAACAGACCTCTAATTTTATAGCAACCTATTTAGACCCAGGAGGATTTGGAGATTCGCGACAGTGTTTGAAAGATGGAGGATCCTCGCCGCAGACACCGATAACCGGAAATCATTTGGACGTTCCACGATCCTTAGATCCGAATCCCAATCTGCTCAGTCCCGAAATCCTCACACAAAGAAGAGGTAAATTAATAATTAAACCAATATTATTCCGCATGCTTAGTTAAAATCTGTAAATTCATGTACAAAGACAGATACGGAAATATGGAAGTAGTATAAGTCAACCATTATAGGTACAGGAGAAGAATTTTGCAATTTTTGAAGGAAACGCATGATGTACGCCAAATAATACATTTTTAAGCGGTTACTATTTGATATCCAGAGTACTAGTGCAATAAATCATTTATTATAGCATGTATTTGATAAATAATGTTTAAAATGGAACGATGGTGATTCTTCTTTTAATCGCTGCCAATCAACGTTTAATTTCCAGGCCACCGAAACATATAGTGGCGAAGTATAAATTCAACTAATTGTATTACAAAAAGTATCGTGTATTTCTATTTGAAAATATTAGAAAGAGTCAGAATAATCATCTAAACACAATTGTACAAAACGTGTGCGTACTAAAGTGTAAAATACATAAAGTTCTATAACATGTGAATTCTTATAAAAGAAATTACATCAAAACATTGCAGGAAGTAGGAGACCGAGCATTTTACCAGTTCCGGACATGTTAACGAGCTCAACCTTGCATCTTCCCGGTCAAGAGTCTTTAGACCACGAAGGTGACGAGTCTGAGGACGAAATGGACGACGACGTACCTTGGAGATCGCCCAGCGAGAAAATAGCGTGAGTATGATCGACTTCTGATCGCAATTCATTTTATTTCTTTTTTTACGTCCAAGGTCGGAAGGATCGAAGGTACAAGGTTTCCTAGCACATCCAATATGAACGCGAGGAAACTGACGGTCAAAGATTAGCGCTCGCTACAAATTTATAGATACGTTTATTAGATAGATGAGAAAGCTGGTTTCCTCTCTTTGACAAATCCTTTTGATCTATGTATTGAAGCACGATCGTGAAATCCTTTACGAGTGAAACGATCATGCACTATCTCGGGCACTTGCATGGCACAGTCTCTTGTGCATCGAACGTATTTTGTGTATAAATTTTTTCTACATATACACATATGCATATCTATATACTACATATTACTATCATATGTAATATATATTGGTATATGAATATATACTTATATTTATTTATATATTTATACATATACCGGATGAATGTACCTTGTTTGTCATTGTTTTTATATTCTGAATATTGTACATTATACCTCTCGATATTAGTTTTTAGGAAGAACATACTGGCTACTTGAAATATTAGATTTTGCATTATACTACGTCAAACTATTTAGATTATTATTTAGCGTTATATATATGAGAATATTGCCGGTATTTTCTTTGGAACGCAATAAGGATACACTGTAGGATCGTACAGTCGATAAAATATTCATTTTTGATATCTCGTTTACGCACAATCGTTCAATTACAGACGTCCATATATTTTATCATTACTACAGATGTAGTCTGTCGGATTACTTGGTACTTTTATTTATTTATTAATTTGTACGATAATATAAATTAACGTGATTCGATTTTATTCAGTGATATATAGATTTCTTTGGTGAAACTTTTTACAATTAAAGACATTCAAATATCGAAGCTCGTAATATTCTCCATTAAATTGTGATAATGAAGTAAAGGTTGAAACATCTCTGAGACGAATCGTCTGTCGTTAAGGATTAATTAAGTAAACGAAAATCTGTACTATCTTATCAGAGTTACTATCTATTATAGGAAACAACGTTTAGCAGCTACGCTGCAGAAACTATGCACCATGCTCATCTTGTTTCTGCACCCCTAGATGTTATTTCCTCTGATCGCCTATTCGACGTAACGTACCCATAACGTAACCATATCAATTTCCTGTCTTATAATGATTTAGTAGCGTTTGAAGATCACAGAGGAAAACACGATAAGTACAGCCATTTTTATTTTTTCCTTTTAATAGAAATTTATGATCAAACGGGAGAATTTTAACGTGACACGATTAGAAATGGAAACAATCTGTCAGTTTCGAAAATGTAATTATTTTCAAATAGTTGATAAATCGGCGAAGTTTCGTGGAAAGCTAAGGTATAATTATTAAAACAAACAGTATTTTAATATCTTCGATATTTCGTTGCTTCGGTATTACGACGAACAATATTTTGAAAATTTAAAAGGCGATGTGAAAACACACGTATTTGTCGAAATCAAATAAACTGACGATCTTTCAAAGTTTAAAATTGCTTCCTTGTATAACAGAAAAAATGTAACTCGTCGTGTTTTTCCTTGTAGTCTTTATTTTCGAAGATACAAAATCTATATTTTCTCTTCTTCCCATCCAGTATTTACCATCCGACACTTTTCCACACCTCCGTCACATCCGTGCAAACACTTTCGAAATAAAGTTTCCATTCGATACAATACATAAAAAATTCGAAACGAAATTTGGTCGAATTGAAAAAATTTTGATTTCGAACGACGACAACAACGACGACGACGACGAAATTTCCATCTCGAAGCGTGTAACGTCGAGCGATCTGAAAAGTTCGAATGTCACGGTGACAAGAGACAGACAGGGCGAATAAGGTAAAAGTTTTGGAGCACGAGAGGTCGTTGTCACGCGAAACCTGTCATTCAACATCCTAAAATACAATTAAACGCAAGTTTACGTTGATGGTCGGTCTGTCCTGTATGAATGTCTCTCGATGCCTGTGCCACACTAATCGACCGTCGATGGTATTGAATCGCTGCTCGATGCTGTCCTGCCTGACACCCTATATGTCCTCATGGATGTTTTCGATGTCTTCCTTCTTGCATCGTCTTTATGCACTGCCGTCTTCACGCACGACCTTTGCCCAGCAGTTTCAAAGGGTGAGTTCACGTTTTTATGCTTTCGTACAAACTATCCTCGCGTCGCGTCGAGGGAACGTTCAGAACGAAAACGTCGAATCGTTTTGAATTTTCGATATGTTACCGCTGCAAAGCAACGATCGAAGTTACATTTGATTCGATTGTGTCGAATAAAGTGACTGTTCTTCAAATTTAACTTAAATTTACAAATTTAAGAGAGAAGAATTTTTCAATTAAGAACTACGCCAATTTAAATATAAAATTGGTAATAATCTTCTATGAAATAGATTTTTTCTCTATAAAGGGTTTCGTGTATATGTGTGTGATATTTTGGTAATTGAAATCAACGCTTTATCTTACTCTTAAGGATTATAAAATCCTCTGTTTCTTTTTTTTTTTCTTTCTTTCTTTCTTAATTAATACCTTGCTTCAGTCGCGTTATTAATAGGAGAAAACTGTTTTTATTTGGAAACGTTCTCTCGCTTATTACCTATCATAATATTATGTATAGAGAAAAGGGAAGCGTGAATTAGTTCGTGCTCTTAAAAGATTGATTAGCCAGACACTTTCCGCAGCATGCATATTTCAGCGGAAGTTGTGGCGCGTGATCGCGAGACACACGCAAAGAAAATGGGCGAAGGAAGTTGATAAAGAGGTCGCGGTAGATACGCAGCTTCGGAATTTATTAACTGATTCAAGCAAACTTTAGTCATCTACATCGTGCATCGAGGTTCGCTGTTTAATACGGCTCGTTGAATCGTTTGCAATGGAACGAGCTCTGAAATTGAAGTTATTCTGATACGAAACACGCGGCATTGCAAGGTGAATGAAGTTACGAAAATGTTGGACGTAGCCGAAATGAACTTTCCATCGGGTCGGATTGATCGGTTTTCAAGGTATTCGTGTAGCACCAAGTAAATCTATTAGATAAATAATTGTAATTCGTAACACTGCTTCGAACAGCTTCCTTAGAAATTGCAGTTTTTGACGATACTTTTTATGCAACGTATTAAAAAGAAATTTTTTACTATGTCTACAATTGCCAGGATACGTAACGCAATTAAAAGAAAAAAAGAAACGAATAAAAATAAAAGAAGAGTAACGCGTAACAATCAGGAAATTGTTACGATGCATCCTTTAAAGTTGTACCGACCTGAATGGATGAAATTCCCATAGCAACGAATAATATAGAGATACCAAGCGTATTTTCCATTTAAACTTTGACAATTTATACATTCCATTGGAATATGTACGAACAACCGCGGTACTTTATGCTTATCCCAAGCATAAATATGATTGTTCATATTCATAATTTTCATTTTCATTTACCACTTTGGTCACTATAAGCTAGTATTTGCTTAGTATAAGCATAAATATTATAGAACGCGTATTACTCGGTATTTTTCATATGCAAATCGTTCATTAGATAACATTAAACGCATTAAGATGTTATTCCACGTGACTTCTTTAGTCACGCACATATTATTTAAACGTGAGTTGTAAAGGTGGCATGATGAATTTACCTATTTGGAGAATTTCTTTCTCTTCGCGATATCGTCATTAATTTATCCTTATATAATGTAGTCAGATTTTATATATCTGTTGCGTATAATGTTGTAGATGTGTTTATCGAAATTTCAAAAAATCACACGATAACTAAATCTGTATATAAATAGTTCGAGGTAAAATGATTTTCATATCGTTTCATATTTATAGGCAATAATAATAAGAAATATTTTGATACACTAACACGTATTAGTTTTATCTACAAATAACTGAGAATGATTTTATGTGAAATAGATGCAGCAAAAATAGCAGAATGATGGAAAATATTAGTTTCTGCATAATGCATGTATGTATGTAGATCACACGCGAAAATCTTATCTGACAGTATTGTAATTTAAATAACTTAACATTTAAATTGAAAATGATGCAGTTATTTACTTTCAAATAATTTGAAGAATCAGTTTTTAAAAATAGCTCGATACTCAGTACACGACTCTTGTTTTAATACCCTCATTTTATTTAAAAATTGTACATGTTTTTATTATTTTGATCATTCTACACATTCGCACATGCTTGTCACGTTGTACACGTCAACAGTATAACATCACGTTTTATCACTGTATCGATATAATTAGAGCGATACACATTGCATTTGAAAGCTGCGAATCGTGTAAAAGTACATTTTCTTCGTTTCAGTCTATAATAATTCATATGGAAAATAGTTTAAATATTATTTAAAAATAAAACAAAAATAAAACAATTGAAAAGAGCATTAAAAGAATATTCTTATAGATGTTAATCAATTGCAATTTGATTATTATGTTATTAGAGTAAAAAAATGTATATTATATATTAAAAATTGTATAGTTTTTAATATATGTAAAAAATGGTTCCGATTATAAATATCAGGCAGCAAGTGTTCTTCGTGCTTTACATTTCGATGTGACAAAAGATTCCAAACAGAAAGTACAAAATGTCTTTTCATGCATTCGAAAGCTTACACCTGCTTACAAAGTCAAATGCAATGCATACTGTGTATGAATTATACAACAATTTAATACAACGTCGATGTGATTATAGGATCGTTAAAGGATTTCCACCTGTTTCACCCTTCATAGGGGTCTCGCCAACTTTATGTTATTTACTGAAAGAAAAGAAACCACTCTGCTGTCTTCAGCTTGCACAGGTGAATATTTGATAGACTTGCAAAGTGAATGCTGATCTCAAATTATAATTGCAAATGTTCTTGGTTGTTAGGTGTGCCAACATTGTAGCTACAGAAACGCGAAAGAGTACAATTGGCAGAATAAGACCATTATCCTGGCAGCTGATTACGCTAGTAATGGGATCTATAACTTCATAATTCCTTTAAGGGCTCATTTTAGGTATCCTGAAAAAAATGATGTATGCAATTTATCTATAGTGTAAACTTTGTACGATCATTCAAAAGTCTGTACTTTACAAACTGTCTATACTTCAGAACTGTTCTAATCTATCCTTACTGGAAATTAAATTTCAAAATAAAAGAATATTTTAGTGTAAAAAAATTGCATAATGCTAATCAATGGTCTGTGTTAGGTCAAAAACTTCGTTGAACCCAATCATTCTTCTGCTGGAACGGACACCGGAAATTGCGTTCCTCGATGCGGTGTCTTACTTTCCTTTGGTATACTGGATGCGAGGTACTATCGATTGTTTGGACGATCTTCTTCGCGCTGGTATCACTCTAGCGGAAAATGTCGTCGTCGTAAACAAGGAACTTAGTAATTCCGCAGAAGAAGACACTTTGGCTGACTGCAATACCATCGTCGCGGTTCAGACGATGTTTAAGTAAGCGTTTGGAAATCTTTCACAAATAACTATTATACTAAACCATAAAAATTACGTGCAAAATTTCGAGAATGTTCAATTAATACACATACTATTTTATATTTTATTGGCATATATTATTTAATAAATATATACGTATTTAAACTTAGTATTTATACTTGATATTTTAGTATATTATTTTGAATAAGTTCCAAGTTTATTCTATTTTTGTCTCATTTTGATTTCGATTTAATTCCTTCACAATTACATTATGTGATGAATATGTATATACACAAATATATTTACTGAAAGCATTATTTGTGAATTTGCAGATTCTTCCCTAGCATAAAAAGCATAACGGAGCTCTCACAATCGAGTAATATGCGTTTCATGCAATTCAGGGCACACGACAAGTACGCTCTTCATCTCAGTAAAATGGAAAAGGTATTTCTCTCTATTGTTTTAAATGATAATTTTTAGAAGCGCTCGAGCAATTCGTAATTAATAGCAGGCTTTGATCTTTCAATAATAATTAATCCACTGATTATTAAATTAAACAATAATTTATGCTTATTTGTGTGTCACGTGAAAAAGTGAAATATCATTAAATAAAGAAGGAAGCGATGAAATTATTTTAACGTTAAATATAGAAGTAACAATTTGCATTCAAGTTTACCATGTATTCAAGTTTACTCTACTTTATTAGTAAATAACCTACTACGGAGATTTCTTAATTAAGTAACTAATCTCCAATGAGGCTTGATAATACGTAAAATTTGTTATCTTAGATTATCTCGTATTTCCTTACAACGCTACTTGCCTTTAGTGATTATAAACACGTATACTTGACCTTTACTTAGTTACCTTATCCGTATAAAGGAGATTTTATTACATTACAAACACGAGACGAGCATATCTTCTATAGTAGAAAAGCAATCAACTTGGAAACCTCTCCAATACTTGGAGTTAATGACGATAGTATTATGTTATGAAATAGATTTGCTTGCATCTTAATATATTATAAGAGTTAAAATAATTTTGTTCTTGAAAACTTCAGACTTTTATCTCACTTTAATCCTTTCATCTTTGACAAATTGTTAATGAATTAAATGGTAAAGCTCGTCTTAAACTTTAGTGCATTATGCATTTTTTGCAAACACATCAGAAAGAAATATGTTTCTATTATGAATAATTAATAAAATAACATTTTTCCATAACAAGAAGAAAATTGAATTCTCAAAGGTGAAATAATTTTCTGTGTAGTATAAAAATTAATCAAATTGTTAACTGTAATTAAGAGTATATTTCGAATCATTTTAATTGTTTTAACAGAGAGAAAAGGAAAGAGGCTCGCACATATCTTATATGTTTCGATTGCCTTTTGCGGCTGGCAGTGTCTTCAGTGCTTCTATGCTGGATACACTTCTTTATCAAGCATTTGTTAAAGATTATATGATAACGTTCGTGAGATTGCTGTTGGGTGTGGATCAAGCGCCAGGCTCTGGATTTTTAACATCGGTAAAAGATTCGAAAGTATTCTTTCACATCCTTCCTTGCTTCTTAATCGAGTTCATCGCAAAAGTATCCGCTCACATTGGAAATTCACAATCAAGTATACTTTACATACACAACGTCACATATATATGTATAAAAAATAGGAAATAAATAACTCTATTTGTTTACAAATATTTATTATTTTTTTTCTATACAATAATAATAGTCTAATAATTGAAAAATGAAAATTACGCATATACCGCAAAGTTATATTTTGAACGAGTATCTTGAAAAAAATCTGCGCTATATTTAGACCAACCAATTTCTATATTGCACATTTTTTCAACACAAAAATGATTGAGGTTTAATTATTATCCGAGTAAAAACTTACTCGAAAAGTTTGAAAAGTGAAAGAGATACGAAGGAATGGTTGACCTCGCCGTCTTAATTGATGGTTTCATCGATCGAGCTAAAAAACAGCACTTTTAACTCTATTAACGACACTTTCAACTCAATTACTTTACACTACATGTACATATTTTGCGATAATTCTACTTCCAATTAACCACAACTACGCCCCTAATTGGACACATTTTCCAACTTAATCTAATTACTCGTACATCCCAAACTGTAATTAACTAATACATCTAAATTTCCAAGGGAGAAAGAAACTCCACCCCCTCAAATTGCTTCATTATCCGGTTAATTACAGATGAGAATTACGAAGGACGACATGTGGATCAGAACCTATGGTAGATTATATCAAAAGCTGTGTTCGACTACTTGCGAAATTCCCATTGGTATTTACAGAACGCAAGACACCACAGTTTCAGACACGTCTCACGTGAGTAAAAAGATTATTCTTTCTCGATAGTGACAACTATAATTATAAGTGATTGGTTCGTGTACTATACATATTCATAAGGGCAGGAAATAACTTTTTGAATGGCAGCTGTGAGTAGCGCATGGTTGTAATCCCGCTCTATCTTATGCTCTGTATCTATCCCGGTGTCAGCTCGTGCAGCGTTTTTTTTAGAGATATCTGATCCCTTTCAATGAGAATCAAAGAAATGTAGGGCTCTTGCATCTTGTTGAAACGATGCTCGTAGCACGTCCTTCGATCCTGAACGTGTTCGTTTCTTTGAACCTGCATCGTGTTAGAAATATTATATATATTATTATTATAAATCGAAATGCTTCTTCCGTTGATAACGCGTTAATTCGACTATTCAGATTCATTTTTAGTATACCTTCCGCGCGTGCGTGTGTGTGTGTGTATGTACACGATCACGCGAAATATTAGATAATATAGATATTTATTCAATACCTACATACAATGGCCTGTGAAGGTTGCAATTTGCTACTATTAATTATTAGTTTGTGGATAAAGTTCGGTATATCGTAACTGTCTAATTATATTAGCAACTTTGAAGCAATTTGCAATATTTATACGAACGGATTGTTAAAACATACGTATGCTTCGATTACAATGAACATTCGAAAAGTGAAAAATAATTTACGCTTGTAACTATGTAAAAATTATTGCCAAAAAGATAGATAGTTTTAAGCTAAATAGATCATTTCTAACAACGTGTTCATATAGTTTCGAGCCTATTCAACCTATTTTATTAATTCCACTTGAGGCTACCTTCTTTATTTCCCCAAGTACTCACAGAAGGTTCGAATGCATCGCGTTTGGGTTCGAATCTACTTAAAAAGTACCGTTTCTTTTTCTCGAAATACTTGCAGAACTTCCGAATACGCTCTGTTAATGTTCTTGCTTCTTTATCAAAAGACATTTCTATTAAACTCGAGCCCATCGCTTCTTATGGGCATCCTGTACGCTGCTTCCACGGAGGAAGCTTAATAGACAAAAGTCAATGAACATACACGATACTAGCACAGTAGCCACCGATCATGTACATATGACAAAAGAAAACGAAATAAAACGAAAACCACGATCGAGCAGCGGCGTGCGTGCGAAATGTGAACGATGGGCTATCATTAGTAAGGGTAGAAATGCTTATCGTTTTGGCAGGGCGACTCAGACGCGGAGAGCGATGCCGGCGTCGGCGTGACGTACAAGGTGCGTCATTCGGCGGCAGCTTCGTGCCTTGCGAATTGCGCCACCCGCGACAAGGGTGCCTCAGCTGTGAGTACAGAGTCGACGTTGTCTGGTCGCCGTTTATTCTCTCGATCGATTTCTTCTATGTTGTATATTGTTCACCATACTATTTCTCTTTATATAATCCCCGTACGCCGCATCTCTATTTTCTCTGTTTGCCCCTTTCTATCTATTCTATCACGTATACTACTTTCTCTATCGCTCCATTCTACGCCTTGGTTCTTCTTTCGCTGGTGTTCAAAAAAAAAAAAAAAAGAAAACTCACCATATTGCAGTGCGCATGCCCAGTGTACCAAAGCAGTCAGTGGCTTCCGGCCTGTGAACGTTCAAGAACTCTCTGTTCGTCTTCACCGCCTACATTGACCTCTCGATCGAGCATCGAGAGCACTCACACTTCAATTTTTTGATGATTGACCTTTTGACGTTGGATGGACGGTGATTGATAAACGTTTGGCAAATGGTTGAAGTTGTTACCAAATTACTCGATTTAGCTCTTTCATTTTTATACGTGAGGTGATTCTTGAAGATCGAGCAGTTACGGTAGAACTGCTATTAAACGAACTCTGTTTGACAGAAATATGAATTAATTCGTGAACATTATCGTGGCTTGAAAATTTCCTCGATACACCTCAATACGTGCTTTTTAAATCAAGAAATCGATAGAATGAAATAAACGGAATTAAAGGATACAAGAGTGTCAACGAATCGTCCAATTCGCCAATAATTTATCAATCAATGATCTATCCGAAAAAGCACTAACAATGTGTTATTCGTACGTTCTAAAAATATTCCGCCATTCCAAAAATCGAAGCTAAAATCCACGCATTTCTTTCAAAGCAGTACTCCGTAAGCCTCGGGGACGAGGCACGAGACAACCACGCCCAGCAGATTGAGAGAGCCGAGATCGCCAACTTGGTCCATTCCCGAATGGAGTCGTTGAACCTCCCAGTAGCCGATTACGACGACGTCTCCGAGAAACGAAACAGCCTCTCCTACGTGATCATCAATCCCAGCTGCGATCTGAAGCTCGAGGAAGGTGACATCGTGTACCTAGTTCGACCAAGTCCGTTCTCCGCGCAGAAGACTTTCGAACGACACAATTCAAGGAGGAAGAGCAACATCAGCTTCTGTTCGGCCCAACTGGTATCGCAAATGAGCGCAGCGGTGGCTTCGGCCGGTTTACCGGGAGCTGGGGCAGGAAGTCGTCGAGGATCGGGAATCGGTTTGCCAAGAGCTCCTCCGTTGAGCACCACCAAATCGAATTCCTTGTCCTTACCAGACAGTCCGACGGTGGCTGGCGCTCTACGTGGTCGTTCCAATTCTCTGAGAGTGGTCGACGACATTCTGCTGAGACGTAGCAACTCGTTGAGGCAAGGACTGACGATAAGTAGAAGAAAAAGCAGTTTAGAAGACATAGGTTTAGGTGCTCTGTCGCATCCCTCGAACCACAACCCGATTAAAATAGCGCTGAATGGATCCATTGGTCTGGAAGTAACTCCACCTGAGGAAGGCTCCCAGACAGCTATAGCTAGCAACACAGGAATCCTGGACGTTGGTCTGCCTTCTATGCCAGAGTTGACCGCTGCCCTGGGATCCAATATCGATCCTTGCCTAGGTGGATCTCTAGGTGGATTGTACGATCCTCCGAATCTTCAGGGCCCGTTAGGTTCACAGTCGCCGCAGATCCAAGGCGGTACGCAGGATCCTCAGTACATACAGGGGACGATCGTATGATATAACCTTATGTGGGGACGCAGGTTCTCCGGCATGGTGCGAAACAAATGGCTGTAGCGTTCCCACATGACACGTCAAGATCACTAGTTGGGATGTTGATTCTCAGCATCCTGATTGCCGACGATTTTGGTGGGATTAAATGGTAGTGACGATAACGATGAATTACGAGGCGGCCGGAGAGCAAAGGTGTTTCAATGTCACAGAGGAGGATGGCACACTGTGGCCGGACTTTTATGATTACGGTGAACAGCTTAGAAGAATTTTTTACTCCGTTCTACTTTGGTAGTTTGAGTTTAGCTTAGCGGCGATGGTAGAACGAAGATATTTGACTCGAACCATCGGGGACCTAAGCGTTGCGACGTCGTATAGTCGCGACTGTGATACGTCAGAACGCTGATTCTTCGTTTTCTACATTTGGATGGAACTGGGCGTTAGTCGTTGTAACGTGACTCGTATTAAGTAATCGTTACAAGCCATAATCGTAATTAGCCGAACAAATGATCTAATTACGTTTGTTCAAATGATAAATTATCGGTTGATCTCTGATAAACCTATCGACTTCTTCTCGTTCGATATATACGTAATTCTGATTTAGCGTTACTGAAAATTTCAAAGTTTAATACGAATTTTAAATTATTTAAATTAGTACAAATAAATTGAATCATATGTAGAAGCGTTATTCGATTGAAAATTTCGTTCGAACGATGCCCAGTTCAACCAACGTATAGTTGTTTCAACGAAGGTACGATACTATGTTAATACTAATTCTCTATTTGTAGATAGTGCGATCACGCGTTTCGAGCAACCACAATTTGTTGCGAGTTTCGTTTTACAATATCCATTGATATATCTCATGGCGTGTGTAGTGGTCTATGTTCTTAAAACGTTTTGCTCTCTAGTCGACTCTAGCGTCCCGACCTCCGTGGATCCGATCGAAATTTTCAGCGATCCAAAACGACGACGAGTATATGCTAGATGAAGAAACTCGCGGTAACGCGTGCCAGAGGTCCAGTGACGCAGTTAATCAATTCGAGAAATTATTAAAACGAAGAAGAAAAAAGCTTGCGACGATGGACAAGATTTAACGACTCCATGATACATTTGAAAATTGAATGAAATATTATTAATTCTATCGTTAAATATTTAAAATAGTATAATTTCTTTTTGTTCGATAAGAAATTGAAACCCAAAAATTTATATCAGTACGAAATTACATAAATATAAAATTGTTTAGAGCATATGACACACATGCAGATTAATCAGAAATTTATTTATGAACACAAAAGCATTGAAAACCTCTTAGCACTTTAACGTTATAAATTATGTATCATTTTTTACCACTAATAACGTTCGAAACCAAGATAATTTTGATTTTTATAAGTGTCCAATACAATAGTAAAATTTTTTAATATTTTCAACGATGACATTTACTTTTGTAAACATTTTTGTACCTTTTGTAAGGTACTTTTATACCTCTTATTTTGTACTCAATCATGAGTTTGTGAATACTTAGTAGATTCTGAATTTGCTATCATTTTATCGGATAAAAAGAAATGACAAAACACGTAAATATACACTGACACGAATTTTTTTGAGCAACGTAACAAGTATCAGCATGTACGATTTTTGCCCGTATGTGGTAAAACGAACAGTTTATATACGATAATATTTAGTATACAACGCTGAAGAAAATAAATTCTTGTCCTTCGTCACACGTGATAGCCGACAGAAGTAGGTAAGAAGAAAGAAACGTCTCCCTAGTGCAAACCCCGATTCTTACGTAGAGTCACGTTCTCGGGGTGAACGTGAGATAATTTTATACTAGAACCAATTTACGACAAGAGTATATCTTATAAATATGATTATAAATATAAATACATGACCATTTTAATCATATCATGCGAGGAACTCAGAAAAACACCGATTGGTGGAGGATCGTTATACGTCTAGAGAAGATGAACAGGATAGGACCTATAAGAGCGAAGAATTGAGAATAAAGTTTCGCTTTGACAAGTAAATGACAAGTTCACATTGGTAAAATGATTTTCAATGGTTTGAACTCGGATAAGAGTTGAGCTAAAACTGAGTAATTTGAACGAAGCTTGATAAAAATTCTTCGATTATAATGGTCCGTAAGCCTGGTTCTACGTTTGCGAAATAATCGAAATAATCGACTAATAAACACAAAAGATAATCGTCTAGTCGAAATTGTAGTTGCCATTCGATCGAACGAAGGTTACTCACTTTTAAGCAAACGCGATCTTTACTTCTCTTCTTATGATTAGTTCGAAACAAGGCAATCCTCGTTGAAATCTTTTATCGAAGTCCTTCGAGTTTATAATGTTTAATCAGACGAATTGTTTGTTCTTAGCGATGAAAGAGAAACAAGAATCAAGAGAAAAAAAAAGAGAGTAAAGTTTCGACAATCCGTTTAATCAGTTAGGTGAATACGTAGCCGTCGTTAGTAACGACTTAATTGTATCTATATATTATATTTCTTGACTCAATCGTTTCTCGACCAATTTACACGTTTCTCCGACCAAACGTCATTTTATCGAGTACCTGCTTCGATGCTGCTTCCGCTACGCCCGGCCCGTTTTGTCGTTCGATTATCAGCGATCGGATTAGCTTCATCTTTTGGTTCTTAGTCGAAGAATATTGTCAATATACTATAATCGATGAATTTCGTATACTACTCAAATTCATCGAACTATATCGAAATACGAAACAATTTCCAAAAACAATCATTGTAAAAGGCCCAGCGTGGAACGTTTTCCGAGCACGAGCCCGATTAAAGCCAAACAGATTCTGCATTTTTCGTTATAGAGCATAAATGAAGCGAATCGATCGATCTCCCCGTCAATCCTTATAGTTCACATAATCATTATTCTATTTAGCCAAATATGCAAATGAATTTTCTGTAGCGATAAATCGTTGATCTGGCCGCGAGCATTTTACACTCTCTTCGATATATTTCTCTGGCCCGTTTTTTCAGCCTCTTTGACTTTCTCTCGCTCATTAACTCTCTGTCTTTCTCACCTTGATTAGCGTAACGAAACCCGTCCCGTCTACGTACATCGACCATCTTCGTCGACGTTGATGGCTCGTAGAGTTTAGTACACAGTTTGAGACGCAGCCGTGGTATTTTTCAACGATGATTTTCTACGATCTAACGACCGATGAAAGCACCGAAAACGAAAACGAGTCTCTGGTTAATCCAGAGATCTGTACGTTATGCTCTGATTATGAAAACTCGATGCGAAGGATTCTACAAGCGTTTAGTTTAATAAAAGACAGAAAGCATGTAGAAGTTCGAAAAGTATAGCTATAACGTGGTAACGAATGAAAACACGTGTATAAGCTTTTCAAAGTTCGAGGACATCGATGGATGTTGATAAGCTCGTAGCACTCGTGATAAATATTCATACGTGGCAAGTTTTTATTTAATCTTCTGTAACGTGATGCAGTGAAATGTGGATTATCGACGATTAATATATCAATTAATGGAACATTCGATTAATCGAAAATTTAGAGATGCACTTTTGTAGGGGAAATTGAAGAACAAGAATAGAAGTTGAAAGAAATTGTTACATTTTTATGCAAATGATTCTTTTTTCCTGTTCGATATTAGGTGATACTTGTGAAATAAATTCAGATTTTTTTTTAGAAGATTAAATAAGAACTCAATAGCTTCGTGTTAAGAAAACGAAATTGCAAAACATGATACACAAACACGATTGAAACAAAAATTACGAAATTTCGACAGAAATCTTCTTGCGGGAGAAATTCCTGTGAATCTTGTATTTTTCGATACTAAAGGGATTCTGCTACCTATATCTTTACCGACTCAACGACCGAAGTGAAAACGAAAAAAAAAAAAACAGAACAATAAAAGCATAAAAAAATACGGGATATATTTAATAATAAAAGAAAAAAAAAGTAATCGAAATTCTATAAGATACTAACAGAAAGACATTCTTTCAGCAGTGTACATAGATTAATTGTCATAGAATCGATCGAAAACAAATGTGACCTGAAACTAAAGCGAGTAGCGTGTTATTACTATGCGTTGTTGTTCGACAAAAAGCGATGTGAAAGTAAAACTGTCCTCGAGTGTATGTGAAAAATCCTAGTTACGTCTGACATAAGAAAACCGATTGTCCATGATTCTGTTAACATTTGTATAAACATTAGCAACGATGTGAAACCGCGAAACTCTGGTATCCGTGAGTGGGCAAGTGACATTTTTTATTAACAAGCGACTTTGAAAAAATGAAAACAAAAGAAAAATACGAAGAAAGACGAGAGAAGGATCAATTGGGAAATAAAGAAAACGGTAGCGTAAACGTAAAATAAAGCAAAGAGAGAACGCGAACGAACATTTCGCGGATATATCGCTATGTTAACAATGGAGATTAATATTACGGTAATATTAAGAAACTTCAGACGAGTATATATCAGAAAAAAAATTATCGTCGTGTCTTCATAGAAAAAAAAAAACCAAAGAACAATCTTGATTTATCGGCGCGTGAATCCTCGAATCGATAACCCTTTCGCAAGTTCCTTGTCGATTTCTAGTCGATCATAAGGGTTCTGAGAGTTAAATTACAAAGCGAACTGCCGAGCTTGCGACATCGAGACGATATACATTTTCTCGTTTTTTCGATACACAGCGCGCGGTTTGACCAGTAATCCATCGTTTTATGTGAAAAATACAGAGCGTACTTGAAAGTAATTTATTCACGGTAAATTGATTTTTCATGGATATTGCGTTGAAATTGTATTCTTTATTTGTACGTAGAGCTCGAAGACAAAACGTGCGGATAACGTTCGGTGGAGCGTATTATAGAATTACGCGTGAATTTTTTACGCGTCCATAATGAATAATGTCAAGTCTGCTGTAATAAGAAATTTTTTTTCATGAATGTATCGTTCACCTCGAGGTTCGGTAAAATTATTAACGAGATTCCTCGTAGCAGAGTATCTTTCGGTTTTCTACAAAATCGATTGCTTCTATTTTTATTTCGAGCAAATTTTGTTGCTTAAACAGTATTGTATCGTTGATCGTGCTTCTTTTTACAATTTTATTCTTTGAAGTTGAGAATAAAATGATTTTTCCAGTTAAGTGGGAAGAATTAGTCCGTAAAGATTTAAATCTAAAGTCCAAATTTAATTTTCAAATCGTGAACGAAAATATTTATTATAAGCTGTTTTATCGTATTTTTATATAAAATTTTAATCATTGCTTTAAGCAATCGAATATATCGAAGAAATTAATGTCATTAAGACATCGTTTCTCTTAAAAGTGATAATTTGATATATCTTCTGTTCCTATGAAAAAGTTAGATTATTAATTGAAAAATTCGATGAAAATTTTCTCTTTGACGTCGTTTAATATAGCATAAGGATCGAAAGAACATACAATATGTGTGTAATTTGATTGTAAAATGTCATTTACGCGTGCAATATGAAATAACGACGAAGAGCGAATTTTTTCATAACAAATGAAGAATGAAAAATTACATTAATGTTTTATTATAAAAAAAAAAAAAAATCTCGTGCTGTGCTGAATAATATTCAAGTATTTGTATTTTTAGAGTATGTTATAAAGATGAAATAGGTTGAAGTATTCATGTTTCATGAAAAATATGTTCATAAGTATCTTATGAAGATATTCAACAAAATATTTAAAGTAGTGGTTCCTTTCAATGTTACAATTATAACAATATCTTTAATTTCTTTTATCATTTTAAAACATTACTTCACCTGTATTTCAAAATTATCGAACATTCAGTGCAAAAGCAACATAATATAGATCATATCTCTCGTATTTAATTAATTTCTATCGTGTCTTGATTGTTAATTCATTCGTAGATACCCTAAAATTTTATAGCACAGTTGTCGTTCTGTCAATTAATTAGAAAAACAAATCCCGAACTGTATAAAATCGTTGAAAAAACTAAAGAAACTATTCCCATTCGATGTATCGTACGGTATGCGCCGTGAAAGGACATGTTCCCTTTTCTGATCGATTCGCAAAGCATAAAAATTTCGGTGAAAAAATTATTTTCCTTTCAGACAAGATCGAAAAGGGAACATGAAATGTACGAATCTCGAGGGCGTGGTGTTTTCAGTGTCGTCGAGCTCGTTTCCACAACATACGAATTAAAAAGTTAATCCTTGACCACGAAAGGAACTACGAACGGCTGTATGTAATGTAAAATAAGAAGAACAGAAAAACAGAGAGAGAATGTATCTATATCTATATAAATATATATATATATATATATATATACCACGTGACACATTGTCACGCGATGCGTGCATGTAAATTTATTATAAATAAATTATTATAAAGCAGTAACATCGTTTCCTTCTGATACGTCGCATTTTATTTCGTGAACGTACAATTCCATTCATTTCATCGCTTAGAGTAACGTAGATCGAGTGAAAACTTGTATTACAAATGTCTGTTTCATTTTCTTCTTTTTAGGAATGTGCTTGAAACATGTTTAGTAATTTGTAATCTAACTATTTTATATTAATCGATGTAAATGTTTGAGTTGATAGTTCTTGAATAATTTGTTTTGTTTGTTCGAAGTGAAAAGAAAGTGTTACATAATGGTTATGTGTTTTTTAAATAACGAAGATACTTTCGATTCGATACTACACTCTATCCGTAGTTGTATTGTCAGAAAAATTACAGGTATGTCTCGCTTCGTGATGTTTCTGAGGTAAACAGCGAAGGAACGATCAGTCTCTGACAATTTCTTTTTTATTAATACTATTTATCCGTAAGAAATTACGTATCACTATCGTGTTACTCTTCGGTTCCTTGACAACCGGCTGTTTAACAAAAAATAATTTCTATTCCTTTACTTATCAAAATAGCAATGAAAGTACTAAAAGTACTTATGTCAAAAAAAAAAAAACTAGAAACTATCATCATACCAAATTAATATCTTCTTCCCCTATATAACAGTGAGATTGAAATATTCTTTTTAAAAAAGTGATATCAATGTCACAGTCTGCTTTTTCAAAACGGAAGCCGATCTTCAAAGATTAAACGCGTACATACACATCTTGTGGTCATCGTCGTTTAGGATTCAATATCATAACGCCATGTTATGTTACCGACGATTAATAAAACAGACGAGATGTTTCGAATTCGTGTAGTACGTGGAATGTTTTCATTTATTCTACGTGTATGCACATCTGTGTTGTTATATATACATATATTATGTGTATTGTCGCTATTCATGAGTTTATAAATACATCGCTTAAATACAGTATCGACAAGTGTGGGCAGATTCGTCTAACGAACTAACCTAGTGGCTCTTCACAGGCTTCAACACGTTTTCCGTGAACTGACCAACGATATTACCTCTCGGATGGTAACACGCCACTATCACACAGGTTCCGTCCCTTTTAGCCATCGCTATACCCATTTCGACAGTCTTTTTCCAAACGATCTGTGTGAAATGACCTAAACAAAAAGAAATAGGTAATTATTAACAATCGTAATTTTGTCTTGTACATTTAATGTCTCGATTTGTTATTATAAATTTCAAAAAATCGATAGAAAATGCAGCAATTTACGTTAAAAAGAATTGATCGTTGTCATTGAAACGGTAACAGAGGAGTACCATCAAAAAGTATAATTTCTTAAATTTTGTAAAGAATTTATTATCTCGCAAGAAATTAGCGTATATCAATTTTGTTGCTAGATATAAAAATATTACAAATTAATAGTTTATAAAATATGACACGCTTACTTTAGCAAAAATTGTCTTACAAAGTTAACGATTAAACAGCAAGAAAATATACATTAGTACTATTTAGAAACTAGACAGCCTTCGTTGATCGATATTTTTAATAAATTACTTCTAGCAATATTATTGGTGAAGATAATCGATAAATTAGCTTTTGTACGTTTGCTACGTACATGTGTTTAAGACCTTTGGTTCCGTTCCATACTTGTGATCCTTCCTCTCGGAATACCATTTGGAAACAACTTCTCGTGCTGGTACAATCAACTTCGGATCGGAACACTGCATCGAGTAGATATTCTCCCCGTACGGAGAAGTCGACTGGGGAATCAGCTTGTTCGTGTTCAGCAACGTGTTCGCCCACGCCTGAAGATAGAGGAAAAAATTCGTAATCGAGCGTTACTCTTGAGTCCATCCGTGCACGATCAATTGCAAACTAGCTAAGTCATGACCGCATGGAGTTCCAGACAAATTACAATTACGTAAATTAAAAGCATCATGAACGAACTGCTGATCCGAACTGTTGATAAAGTCTAGCACTACAAAGCAAAAAATATTATTTTTGCAATAGGACGTTTTAAAAATGAATCTTTTTATGAACAGATATCAAATTTAATAGTTAAAAATATAGCTAAAATACATTTAACGTTGCTAAAATGTTTCGTTGTTAAATACAAGTCAAAAGTTGTTAAATCATAGAAAAAATATTACGTTACAGTAGAATCTTGATTATCGAAACAACGATTAATGGAGAAATTGAAAATCTTCGCTTTATGATTTATTAATTTAACTATTTAAAAGTTTCTATTCTTATTTGATATTAACGTCAATAAAATAGTTCGAAGCTTATAAGCAACTTATGTTTACGAAGGATTATATCAAAATCAGAGTTCAACAATTACGATCAATCCAACAGAATAGAGTAAAAAGTGTTACCTTAGCAGCAGCGATTAATTCTACGCTTAACCTCATGTCTGGGACACGATGTCTCCTTCTGTATTCGTTGTGAACGACTAGAGCCTCTTGTTGCCACGCTTGTTCGTCTAACGTGTAATGTGATTTAGGATCTAAAAAGGTGATTTTTTTAGTAGGACTCGGACTTCCTGGAGGTAGGACGTTCTCCGTGAAGCTGCCCAAGAAATTTCCCGCTGGATTGTAATTACAAACGACGTAAACCTCGCCGTTTCGATTCCTGGCCATTCCAACGCCCAACTCGGTGCTGTCCTTCCACACGACTTGGGTGAAGTGGCCAGTTTTTAGGGTGGTGGGCTCCTTTCCGTACTGATGTTGCGCCTCTTCCGCATACCTGTGAATAAAATGTGTAATAAAATTAGAAAGGTGGACGCCACACATCGCTATCACGATTCTTACCATCAATTACATCGAGTTCATTGAACGTAAATTTTATATAGTTACCATTCGTTTACCGGCTCCTCGCCACCTACGATAGTCTTCGGGTTGGAACTCCACATACAGTACAAATTTTCACCGTAATCTATGTTTGCCCTGTGCTCTAACCTACCCCTAGCCGCCAGTATATTGGCCCAGTCCTGACTTGTTTTACATAACTGCAAACAAAGAGAGGAAATATGAAATATAGAGTTGAACGGTTCTATGCTACAATTTTTATAAAATTTCAAGTTTATAAAGAAAAAATTGTTAAAATATTCTACGAAGTATCATCATACTGTACTTGATATTGAAACGAAAAGGGGTGTATTAATATTCTTTTTAAACAACGAATCTTTAAGGAAATAATTAAATATACGATACGTTTTAATACGATAGGGAATATTTTTAAATACCGTAGATTCTGCTGATGCAAGATTTAATTTATTCAGCTATATATATATACATATACCAGCCGAGTTTATTTATCGATAAACATGAAGAGGAAATAACCTGTTTGTTGAGACGAAGAGGTGGTACTCCATGCCTAGCGCGATACAAATTGTGCGTCTCGATGCAAACGTTGATAAATTCCTTAGGAGGTCCCAATCTGCGCACAGATGGTTTACGTGTGTCAGTCTTTGATATCTACAACACACAGACAGAATACCGCGTGATAGACAAAGTTTGTGCGATATAAATAGGACAACAATATGAAACCTTTTAAAAATAAAATACACAGCAAATAAAATCAAGATTGCGTTCAGTCACGGAATATCAAATATTTTCTTCGATTTCAAGAGCTAGAGAAAAGTCTCCTCTATTATCGGGTTCGCGATGCTTTGGTACAGAGTTAAAAAGAATAAGATATTTTAATTATATAACTAATTTGATCAGTAATATCAAATCGTTGTGCAAAAGGTTTATTCCAGTTTGATATTTACTCCAATTAATTCTGAGGTTATTGACCTCACGAAAATTATTTATATAACCGAAACTAATTTAATATTCCTTCTCGTAAAACATCGCGCCCTCTGATCGTCTCAAAGCAAACGTTCCTACGCTTTAATTTGCTGAAACAGCTATTGCAATTAGAGAATAGCAATACGATCGCAGTTTTATTATAGCCGTTTTCCTTGTACGTGCATATACAGGGTCTATAGAAAAGAAAACCTTCCCACATCGGTTATATTCATACTGAAAGTATTAATCCAACAGCATCGTTCCCTAATGGCGAGCAGTTAATAGCAAAACTCGAACAAAATTACAAAAGTACTAATTACGATTGCAAAAGCCAAAATGTCAATGTCTAAAAACAAAAAGATAATTTGTCAAAGTTCTATAATGAAATACTTCATTTTCGTGGAATTTGCCAAGGTTCTAAAGTCTAGATAAAAAGACGAAGTAATGACGAAAAATAATTATACGAAGCACATACCTGGAATTTCCTTCCATAGGCACAACATTAAACGACGTATCTAATAATCTAAATTAACTGAAAAGAGTTACAAATGAAAGATTACACTGATGCAACATTCGCTTAATCTTGTTAAAGGCTTAACCCGGAGTTTCTATTAATCAAGCTGCACTTTATCTAAATTAAGATAAATCTATCTCATAAATAACACGACGAATCAACCTTTTGTCACACCCTGTATATGTGCACGCGTGCACGTTACGGTCAAAGCGAAATCACGCGATCGCGCGAATGCAGCCAGCAATAAAGACGGTGACGTCCCTAATAACCTAGATGCGGAATATCCAATGGGGAGTAGACTGACTGGCAGAAATGATTTCCCATCGTGCTATCGTAACGCGATCATTTCCAGCACACGACAGTCAGGAAGCAAGCTATCGTAAAATCGGCACGTCCTCCTCTATCGTTGGGGTTTCCGGTCGCGCGTTTCTCTTCGGATTAGCTTCGACTCCTCCGCAACTAACAAGTATAAGAAGAGACCCGGTAATCGATCTACGGATCTATGTAATTTTTCAAGTTGAAACGATTAAACGGAAAGATTTATATGATTAACAGCGGCATAGTAATTAATTTTATCGGTCGATAGCCGGAAGAAAAGCCAACTTCAGATATATTTTTGTCCAACATGCACTATCGACCGGTCGTTGCGTATTTTTAATTTCCGCGCAAATGTCACGCGACGCTTCGTTGGCCATTTGATTAATGCGGCCACGGATGCTGACAAGACAAATGGTGTAAATAGAAGTGCAACGAGACGTTGAAGATCGTCCTAGATTTTGGTTCTGATTAGATTCTTCTAGATTCTAGAATAAAACACTGATTTTGTGGGGAAAATGAATGAAAAATAAGGTAAATTCCATCACAGGTTCTCTACTATCCAACTATGGAAAATGGGAGTAATAGCAAAGACGTAGAACAAGTTTGTAGGTCTTGAATACTTGCGAATACTTTTCTACCTTGATTCGCTACAAACTTGCGATAAAATATAATATTTTGATAAAACGTAGAAACGTAGTATTATCGTTTAAAATGCTAGCAATTGAAACTGTACGAATTTATGTAGACTCATCGCGAATTAATTCAACAACAAATACCACGCTCCTCTACAATTGCGCGATGCATCTGCCGATATTTTTTTTTTTATTTGGAAGTAGTTTACAATCAATTCTCTTTGAGAATTATAATTAAATTATTCTGGCGTGGTACTATAACATGAATAATAAATGATTATCGTATGTTTGATTATCTAATGTTTAAATCTAGAAGGTAATGCTTTTTAGCCTGCGAATCTGATCCGTCGTGTCAAGTAATCGAATAACTAGTGGGTTTTGGTGGTTGTTAATTCTTATGTTATATCTGTCGATATGACGCGAAAGTTCAAAAAGCTCCAAACTCTAATCTACTCTAATTAGATTAGTTTATTTTCCACCCTCCTTGTCTAACGCAATTATTCTATGCGGAAATGAGAAACCTCGTCCGAAATCAAGTAGTTGACGAGTCTCGAGAGAACTCAACCCCCTGCCAATTTCCTATTTATACTTGTTTCTCTTCGATCTGCGCGCGAGTCATAGTAAACGAGAGCACAGTGTCCTCGCGTACAAGGAATAAATAGAAGATTAAATAGAACAAATAGAAGAACAGCGCGGATGGACGCAAAGTGTAAAAGCGAGCCGAGAAAAATCAACACAGCACGCGAACTCGACTCTCGAAGACGATTAGTCATCATTGCGAGAGTAACGATTTCCCGAGGCGTTATGCACAGCCGTTCACTAGACGTGTCTCTCGAAAAGGGAACGATCCTGAGTCATCGACAGATGCCAACGTACCCCGATGTCGCTCGCTCGTCTACACACGGAGTTAGGATTCACGTGATCGCGTGAACGCGTGACGATGATTTACTTCGCCGTTTAACCCTTCAAACGGTAACCGATTACGGTAACTCGTGCGTGTTTGTCTGTTCCTTTTCGTTTCGATTTTCACGCGTTTCGTCCACGTTGACGATGAATAATGAAAATGAAATCGCCGTTCCTTTTCTTCTTGACAAGGGATGATTTATATATCGATAGTTTGTGGATATGTTGCGATAATTAGGGTTTAAGGAATGCAATTAATGGACTGGATGTAAATGTACTAATTTAAAAGTTAACGTCTGGGTTTATATACGTATATAAGTATGGAGAATTATGTATTACAAAAGAAAAGATAATTCTAGATCGATACCGTGTAAGCCTGAAAAACATCTCAGAAGGATAAAAAGATATTACTATGTTGCCCAAGGACTGATTTTATGTTTTTGTCGCAAGCTCGTAAAACGATAATAGGATAACCACGTCTCCCAAATATCCTGCAGGGCACAGCCATTGAGACAATAACCAGATAGTGTCCCAAACCCAGAAGACAGTAACATGATAGGCGCTTTCTGACAGGCGCTGGGCGCAGGGGTGACAACCCCTCCATAGGACCCAAAACCTTGGTATATAAATCTTCCCAAAATCGGCACTCGACACAGTCTATTGTAACAGTTTGAACCATTATTCTGTCGTATTCTTATAATAAATTTTATGTAGACTATCATATCTGAAGTTCGAATGTCTCGCCTTACGTGCGAAACGTTCAAACTATCGCGAAATAAGTCAAACGACGTGAGGAGAAACCGGTAATTTGTTAATTTCACGATTTCCTGTATCTACTACGTGACATTCTCGCTGTAACTCTTTTACCAGTACATAGGTAAGGTATCTCAGACATATGGGAACTTTTCCATTTGAGATACTTGCAAGAAGAATTTAATGCACTTTCAAATAAATGTTCAACTTTTACTTCGCATTTAAGTTTCTATACGGTAGAAATTCATTTATCTGAATCGAAGGACAAGCGGTTCGTATAACTGGAATTTGTATAATAAGAGTTAATCGACTCTCTCCATTGTCTGTGATTTATCATAGAAAATGAAATTTGATTAAATTTATTTTCTGCGTATAACAAAGATATACTGTTTGATAGATGGAGCGAACAAACAGGAATTCGTTTAATTCGACGCTAACTAAAATTTTGTTTCACAAGCAGTTCCACTTCGAATGGAATTCCACCCTCGTATTTCAAAATCGTGTAACTTTCTATTCTTCTTATATAACAGAAAATTCTTTAGAAGCAGAATTTCGATCGCAATACGATCGATCATAGAAAAATATATTTACCGGTGTCGACGAATATCTTGCAGAGTCGGGGGAGGCCGACGATGACCTGGCACTGCTGCAAGACATGCCGTCGCTTCCTAAACTACCGTGGAAACTGCCGTGCAAGGAATTCGACAGTGGCCCTGGAGACGCTGGCGACGCTGTCAAAGGAGATTTCGATCTCACCGAATCCGTCCTCGACCTGAAAATCAGTAAATCGATTATACGCTCGATGCAGAAGCACAGCGAGCCTTTCAGATTTGAGGCAGTGACACTCGCGGCTAGCGGTGCACAGATTTAGACAAGCAACTTCTATGAAAGGTTTCCTCGGAAACAACGGGTCTATGTTGCGTTGTGTCGCCGGCGTTTCAAGCTGTCGGCGATTTAGCTTCGACGTACGTTGAATCTCAATGGATTCGATCAAAAAGCAGTGTGATTGAACCGTTTGTATTCGTAGCAGCGTACAAGTCAGCTGTGCATTGAAAGGAGCTTTGATTGGATATATTTAAAGAACCATTCTTTTCGGGGTACAAGCTAATCGGAGTGAGAAATTGATTGTTTGAATTTCACGAGAATTCCGATAATCGAGTATGCATACGTGTTGTATGGTAAACACGAAGACAATAATTTAAAGAACGACCATGACTAATATAGGAAAAAATTGAATATATACGGGGTTGTAGAATTCACGAATCAACTTTGTTTATCACGTCAACTTCTAATTCTAAATTTTATCTGTAGATTATGCTACGTTTATATTGACCTCTTTAGATTAGAAATTTTATTTATAATATATCTGGAATTGAAGATACTCGTACGATGCAGTTTCGAAAATTCTTCGCTAGAGTGTGGTGGTAGTAAAATCGTTTTCTTGGAAACGAGTGGACTAAAGTTGAAAAATGGATGAACAAGAAAAAGAAACTCGGTTCCAGCTATTAATCCATGAATCATACATTTTTGTTATTTTTATATCACCCGACTCGACAAACACTTAAAGCGAAAAGCATGGCAAGCAATTCTGCAGATTCGTAGGCAAACATTTTCTCAAAATACCATCTTTCCCAAAGGCTTAAATGGAAAGTTCGCTAAGTCGCTTAATCGTTTGAAATTATTCGATTCCCGCAACGAATGTTTAGTCTTCGGTGTCCTGCTATTTCTCTGCTTAATCCGCTTTCGCCTTTCCAATTATTCGTCACAAGTTTCGCTACGTGCTGAGGATCCTTGTCTGTTTTTCTTAAAGCGTTCACACTGCCTGCAACATATGCGCGACACGTCTTTTGATAGTTCGTTGGAATTCCATCGTCGAACGAATCACAGATTCACGTGGATTTAACACATGTCCGATAAACTCTCTAATTTCGTTGCGTTTATCGGAATTTTACCAGCTGTTTGTCAAATCTTCAGTTCCGTGTACCAGGCCCGTTAAATCTCTTCTTAAAATCAAATCATTCTCCGAATTGATTAAAGTTGTAGCTTCGAAAGGAATGGTTCTTAAGAAATGAATGGATTACAAATAGATCGATACAGGACATATCTAAATTAATTGAAGCAACAGGATCAAAATACCCAGGTGCCATTACTATAATCGGACGATTTAAACAATTCGCCAATTTACTCTCCTAAAACATTCTCTTAAATGCTAAAACATTCTTTATTTACTTTGTTAAAACATTCCCTTAAAGATGCCAGCGGAATTCTCAACTTCAACAGCTCCTTAAAGGATACAAGCAAAAAGAGCTAACGGCGGGGAACGTGTTAAATTAGCGTCCGCTTCTCTTCAGCCTCGTTTCTCGTTCATCGAGACGCTGAATCAAACGAAATTAAACAAGTGTAAGCAGCGTTAAAGCCGGCGCCGTACAATTTCGCCCGGAACTCGACGATCCTTATCACGTCAACTTCTAATTCTAAATTTTATCTGTAGATTATGCTACGTTTATATTGACCTCTTTAGATTAGAAATTTTATTTATAATATATCTGGAATTGAAGATACTCGTACGATGCAGTTTCGAAAATTCTTCGCTAGAGTGTGGTGGTAGTAAAATCGTTTTCTTGGAAACGAGTGGACTAAAGTTGAAAAATGGATGAACAAGAAAAAGAAACTCGGTTCCAGCTATTAATCCATGAATCATACATTTTTGTTATTTTTATATCACCCGACTCGACAAACACTTAAAGCGAAAAGCATGGCAAGCAATTCTGCAGATTCGTAGGCAAACATTTTCTCAAAATACCATCTTTCCCAAAGGCTTAAATGGAAAGTTCGCTAAGTCGCTTAATCGTTTGAAATTATTCGATTCCCGCAACGAATGTTTAGTCTTCGGTGTCCTGCTATTTCTCTGCTTAATCCGCTTTCGCCTTTCCAATTATTCGTCACAAGTTTCGCTACGTGCTGAGGATCCTTGTCTGTTTTTCTTAAAGCGTTCACACTGCCTGCAACATATGCGCGACACGTCTTTTGATAGTTCGTTGGAATTCCATCGTCGAACGAATCACAGATTCACGTGGATTTAACACATGTCCGATAAACTCTCTAATTTCGTTGCGTTTATCGGAATTTTACCAGCTGTTTGTCAAATCTTCAGTTCCGTGTACCAGGCCCGTTAAATCTCTTCTTAAAATCAAATCATTCTCCGAATTGATTAAAGTTGTAGCTTCGAAAGGAATGGTTCTTAAGAAATGAATGGATTACAAATAGATCGATACAGGACATATCTAAATTAATTGAAGCAACAGGATCAAAATACCCAGGTGCCATTACTATAATCGGACGATTTAAACAATTCGCCAATTTACTCTCCTAAAACATTCTCTTAAATGCTAAAACATTCTTTATTTACTTTGTTAAAACATTCCCTTAAAGATGCCAGCGGAATTCTCAACTTCAACAGCTCCTTAAAGGATACAAGCAAAAAGAGCTAACGGCGGGGAACGTGTTAAATTAGCGTCCGCTTCTCTTCAGCCTCGTTTCTCGTTCATCGAGACGCTGAATCAAACGAAATTAAACAAGTGTAAGCAGCGTTAAAGCCGGCGCCGTACAATTTCGCCCGGAACTCGACGATCCATCCGAGTTCCGTCGACGGATCTGCGAACAGAGAAGCCTTTTGTGTCTCGCGTGGCCAAAAGCTGAAAGGTCGAGAAAAGCGTGCGCGAAACTGCCGGCGATCTCCCTCTGTGCGTCGTCAGAAAGGAAAAATCGTTGCGGCACATGCAAAACGCGAGCCGAAGCGGTCGAACAAGAAGATCGTTTAAACGTGCTTCGTGAAATTGTACGAGTGCCTCTAATCTATTTCTAGTGTATGTTCCACTGTGGGCTGAATACTGTGATGCCGGCAGGATATAGCATCGTTAACGAGTCTCTTTGTCCATTTATGCGTCTATTATCACGAAAATATAACGTTACGTGTGAATCTGTCGCAAGTATCTGCTAACAATTTATTCCACAATTGCTTTCCCGACGCGTCGTTTGCAAATGCGCGTGAAATTTATGGTCGGCGCCTCATACCGCGTCATTTTAACGAATAGCATCGTCTAGAATACTCTAGAGCGAGATAAACGACCCAACAAAAGCAAACGACCAAGGATTATCCTTGGTAATTGTATCTGACATGGAACTGGCTTTGTTCGCCAATCGTTCGTCGTCGCGATGAATTTACGCGAGACGAGTCTCGTACGAAGAATCATGAAATTCTTGGTGGGTTTAGTATTATACCGAGGAATTAAATGAAAGATCCTAAGCGACTTTAGTGGTTCTCATATTTCGATTCTGAGAAAATATCCAAGCAATGTTTAATATCATACATAGAAATATAATCTAACAATCTAACTATTTAGCGATAGATAATAATACTTACAAAAAAATAGACATTGTAAAATTGAAGATCTGTCTTTAATGTACTAAAGAAGTGATTCATACGTTAAGATATGTATGTTCATGAAAAACTTTTAACGAGTATCTATCGTGCCTGCGATGCTTCTAATTCTCTTTTGTTGCTCGTCAGTGGATCTAAATGCGAAAGGCTATTCGATTGGGAAAATAATTGTTACGTTTGTTTAATAATTGCAGATGCATCGATATAGCGTTAACAATGACTTCATAGATAACCTTTAAAAATTATGCCAGAATACTTGTAATAATTTATCAAAATGTTAGACATGCTGTCTCAGACACCTAAAATTTCAAAAAGTTCCGCACAATATACACAATATATTCATAAAAATTCCTTACGATAAATAATCAAATATTTCTGCCAGTTGTTTCCCATCTGAAAATGCGACTCTATTCTTCGATAATCAATCGCAACCAACATCATCGCCACGCAGGCATTACAAACTCAATGCGCTAAACTCAATTAAACCCGGCGAAGCGTCCAAATACGTCGCGACAGTGAATGACTCCTCCATTGAAAATGGGGATCGTAGCGAGGCACGACATTTTCAACGTGACCGTCGTAGCCATCGTTGCTCCTTTTGTCAGGCAACAGCTCAGCGTATTTACAGTATCAGCATTCAGGCGGTGAAGTAACGACGAAGAAGCCGAGAGAAAGCGGCGTGGGACACCAAGAACGTCGTGGAACACGCGAGATGCCACGGCAAGAATTACGCGCGCACCGCGACCGTTTCAGGTTCACGCGAACGCGCGCGCTTCCATACGCCGTCGTCCGCGCGTGCACGCTTTTACTTCCTTCTTCCTACGAGTCTCCTCGACCACGGCCACGGTCGCCACTCGCCACCAGAAGAAACGTTCCCCCGTCCTTTCTCGCGTCCCGCTGCTTCTCGCGCGTCGACAACGATTTATTAACCCTCGCGAACGTTCGAGCGCGAACTTTCAGGGGAAACGGTGAACGCACGGATGGAAAGGGCATTGTTCTTCGCGAACGTAAATTTGGAAAGTTGGACAGCCGGACTTTTGCACGCGCGAGAATCTTACTTTTGATTCTCTGCTGCAGTGCTCGAGATGATCTCGTTTAAGAATCGTCGAAAACTTTCACCGGTTACTTTTAAAGATATCTCGTTCGATGGAATCATAGGAATTTTTTGGTGTTTTAAGTATCGCAGACGAAAGAATGGGAATTGAGTTGCGCGAGTGTTGAGCTTCGTGCGATTGCACCGTGATGCTATCGGTTTCAATTGCCTTTCTATTTTACGTTCACCTGGTAGGTTTAGCTTCTTCTATGCGTGCGGCAATTCTTCGTGATCAATGTTATTGCATTTGATTTTCTTCGAGTAAATGTTTTATTCGAGAATTTTTCTTTTTATTTACACGTTTTACACTCGATAAAGTACCAACGACGATTGACAATATTTCTTTCAATTTCGTGCACTAAATGGACTTTCTCTCGGCTTCGTATTCGTCGACTATGTAATTACTATTAAACACTAAGGCCATTCACCGAACCTAACGAAGCCCTGAAAGGTACAAACGGTGGATTCTCCTTCTCTCTTTCTCTCGTCTTTTTCTTCCCTTGCGCCATCGAATCGTCGAGTACTCTCGTTCACGCGCTGCTCGGCTTCGTTAGAATCGGCGTTTGGCATGGCTACAAGTCTGCACACCATAGGTGAATACCTTTCGGGCGATAACTGGTCGACAAAGCCGACCACCTTCTTTTTCGTTCCGTTAACGCTGAGCGAGGGCATACTACAAGGAGGGGTAACGATTTACGATATACACAAGCCGGACATCCTTTGACTTTTACTTAGAATTACTATACATCGTTCAAGATGTCCCGAGTGAAATTAACGCGGAAAACGCATCTAACCGCGAATCAATTAGCGTTGGGGTCGTGTTTCCAGCAAAATTACTTATTCACGCGAGATCCATGTCACCTAACAGCTGGAATTCAACGGTGAAACGTCGACTATTCTGGCTCTTTTGAGAGATTAATTGCTTGCGCGAATAGCTTTCGAAGTTTACATCGAGTGGATGATTAAACGGAAAATGAATTAAATCGACGAAGTTAAATTATAAAACCAAATCTGCTCGATAATCGTATGTTCGCGAAATTGTACGATTACGTCAATAAAGGCCAGCTAAATTAAACGTCTGATTTAATCATCGATTGTTTTAAAACAAAAGAGTTATGTTCGACGTTTAAAAACTTATTTCCTTCTTATTCCTTTCGAATCTGAGAACAAACGCTATACTGAGCATAAAAAAATGATACGTTTTAATAAGATGGACTTTATTAGCAGTTCTCGAGAAAAGAACCGAATAAAAGTTGTTCTTAAAAAAAGAATAACGAAATTCGTATAGGAAAATCGAAATGCATACTATACAAATATTTACTCGTGTTTCTCCCGTAGCAGACATGGTGCAAAATCAACAGACATCCTAAGTAAACGAATGTCTATCCCTTATCCGAATCCCAGTGATATAATATTACGTATTTTAAGGTTTTTCTCTCGGGACATCTTGTTCTAATATGTACACGTGTAAGTACCTATGTATGTATGTATATTTACACGTATAAGGAAACCTGTACCATAACAAAGAAAAAAAATTGATAAGTTCTGATCTGTCTCAAATCAGATATTTATGTGTGTTTGAAGACCGTAAGGGCAAACTTTATTACAAATAATGCACTTTTTCACTAATAGTTTATAATTACACTACACAGAAAAATGTATTGAATGAGCTGACGGTCATAAAATTGTATAAATTGTACTAAATTTACTATGATTTATACAAATTATTTCCTGATTAACGAGCATAAATACGTGAATGAAATTCGTACACTAAAGAGGTATTCGAATACTCGTATGTATTAGTAAGATATACATCTTTACAGTTATTACGTTACAGTTATTACGTTCGAGTATCTTTTTATAAATGCATTAAAAGCTTAATTTCATTGAACTTTACAATTATTTCATTCCATATTTATCTCATATCAAACTACACACGCTAATAACGAAATTTATCGACTAACAAAAATTCACTTGTAAAACTGATTCTCTACTCTTTTCGAACAAAGTAAATATATATTACGAATATATTCTAAACTCCGAATTCCCAACATATGGTTCGTAACCCTCGCGATTAGTTTTAAAAATATTTGTAGCGCTTAGATATTTTAATATGTCTACTTTGTCGTAGTAAGCCAAAATGAATTGTCATATTTGATTAAAAAAAAAAATTTGAGGAAAGATTATTTAGTTGTTGTAAAAGAGAGTCAGGAGCCAAAATTGTTAGGAAACACGGCTCTAAATTTGTTAACTGTTAAAGAAAGGAAACGTACATCTATAAAAAAGGATAAATACATAAACTACTTTTGCATTTCTGAAGTTTTACCCAGAAACAAGCGATACGTTCAACGCGGCATTTCTAAGAGCCGTGAACCGGTTCTCGTTGTATCAACAACGCTGTTGCAAATACGTTACCTAGAAGGAAGCACATTACCGAAACGAAATTTCTTCGCATACACGCATCGAACATATCGCTTCATTCACGTTCCAGGAAGTCTGGTTTCTCCCGGTTTTCCCTTTCAGTCAATATAATTAAGAAAAAATGACGCATACCTGTTCGACTTTGGCGTAACGATGTCTCTAGTCTCGGACGTGTATTTCCTTTCAGCACGACCGCCGTTGAAAAGCTCGACGGTTTCCCTGGTAACCGTTTCCAGGAGAGGTTCTCCACCCCGTCTACCCTTACTGAAGGTCCTTTGATCCGTTTTACGGACCATAACCACCCTCGACAGAGGTTGATTGAATTCATGGCCGTGCATCGTTGGCGGAATCATCGCTAACGACTGAGAGAGGGGTCCTCCGACTCGCGGGGACCTGAAACAGATTATTCGAGATTGCAGAGTGAGGGGATTTGCATCGAATGCTCCCTGTTTAAAATTAAAATGCTTTTCATGCTACGATTAACTCGACGTCCGCAACTTTTTCTTTTAATGAATTTTTTATGAAATACGATTCTGTTCAAAGACGCATGCTGAGAATCTGTTACTTTGTAAATTCTTTCCTCGTTCGTCCGAATAAATAGCAATGTGGTGAAATTTTAGTATTTGTATTCATAAAAAACAAGATGAAATTTTTTCCAACTAACATAAATGATAATATTGGATTGTTCGAAAGATTCGTAAACGAAATTTAAGAAAAATTTAAACATGGTATATTTTTATAAACAATTTATACGCTATTCCTTTTGTAATAACTTTTGGCTATTTATAATGGGACGGATGGAGTTCGACTGATATAGAACAATATTGGCATATTCATTATTTATACATTGTTTTTGTTATTTTGATTTGATTTGATACACTAAAAAACATCTTTTCTATTGATTAATCTTGCATTTCTTTTCTTAATTACTCTATACATACAATGATTAATAAGTAGCATTTATCAGAATTTAACATTCCGTTACTTCGCACGAGTTTATAATAAATGATTATTTTCCAATCTTGGAAACGTTATGTACTTTCCGAATAACCTAATAACATGTACAAACGAAAACGATTGTTATTACAATATTTGATAGACCGTGAATACCTACTTACGCATTTATTGAAGACTTAAAAGTATAAAAATTTACAGACTGCACCTAATATGAAAGGATATATAAGATATTGAAAACAAAAATAAAGTACTCGTGATAATATTTCATAAGTGAAATAAAAATGTTTATTTGGATTCAATTTCTTTAGTTATATCTATTCATTAACATCTGCAGTCTATTCATAAGATGCTCTCGTGTTTCAAAGTTTGCAAATTAAACATTTTTATGTTGTGCTATTCTCATTAATGTATAATAAAGCAAATTTGTCATCTACATTTGAAACCTATTAGCATAGCGGGCAATAAACCGAGATCCTAATTCAACTTCTTAGCGTTACAGTGTGAAAACAAACGCTTTGGGAAGCAGTTTAGAGAATCGTGACGATCGTATTTTACAAAATCACGTTATGGAACGGTTAGAAAATAAAATTATGGTAAGAATTTAACGGTGTTGAAGTAATAAATTACACGATGTTCTTTTCTTATAAGAATTTTTTCTCCTCGTGGGAACGTCATAAGTTTTCCAATCCCATACGAAAAACATATACGCGCATATTTACGATACTTGTAATGCCTACTCTGCTTTGCGTGACTTGTTAACGAGGTAAATATATTTATAACGAGTCGTGAATTGCAGTTATCGTACTTACGAGCACTTTTAAGACAGCAGACAGAATATATTTACTCGAATAACTATATTTCCTTGGAAAAGTCGCAGCAAAAAAAAAAATATTTTAGAATATCTATGTAACGTTACTCTGTCAATTTAGGATCATTGTATCGGATAACTTGTCTTGATCCCTTATTTTCTAGACGTAAATCGCAATGATAAAATCAATGATAAAGCGCCTGTAGGCGTCAGCTATAACGGCATTAAAGAGAAGAATCATCGTAATGCAATTTAATTAGATCAATCGCTAAGTAGAGCGATAATATGACAAATGATATCTGACAAACGCTGTGCGTTTTAGAATCAAAGATATAGTTTTCCTACATGTAATCCTTACACATTGAAGGTACGTACATATTCTTACTTTATATGGCAATCTCCGTACTATATTATAATTTACTTTGGCATAATTACAGACTAATTAGCAAATATTTCCTATCTTGAAAACAATAGAAATTTGATCTATTTTTGAGATACTTCATATATCTTCATTATTACCTAGACTTGCTTATTATTCTATCAAAGCGTATAAACAATTTAATTTTTTTATAAACTTTATTATCACATCCCTGATAGACAAACATAATTAATATATATAAATAAATTATTCGACTTTTATGACAATAGTGACACATTTTCTACAGGCTAAAAGTTAAAACAATAGAAATATCATAACGTGTTTAATATAAGAAATAATTTAGAAATTTCTAATTCTATAATTTAATTGATTATAATGTTGTTTCCTGAATCGTTGAAATTATACTACTTGTTAGTTACACGTCGATTTTTTTAAATGCATACGACAAACTTTCGTTTCCCTTTCGAATCAAATTTACATTTCATATTTACACTTCCAATACAGATCTGTCAAACATTTCAATTCATACAACAAACTTTCATTTTCCCTTTCGAATTAAATTTATAATTACCGAACATACAATAATAGCATTCAGCTGAATTTCACTTTCATCGGGGTTCGTACGATTCTTAACTCTTCAAACAATCTTCAGGGCTACGAATTATTGTTGCAAGAATTGCTATAACGGGAAATATGTTTTTGTGCGTGCCGAGGGAAGGTAGATACATCTAATTACGACGAATGTGGTAATAACATCTCTTGGTCTATGAGCTCGGTATTCATAGCGATGAGTGAACAACCTAACACTATCGTGCAACGTATAATGAAGCACATAGAACGAAGACCTGCAATTGTTCATAATTTAGTCGCTCGTTGACACTATTTATGATTACAGTAGGTATCATCGTCTGCTTCAAACATTGACGAATTTTTCCAAAAAAGATTTGAAGATACTTGTTTGTATATGCATACTAAGACTTCAAAAAACAAGAAATCAAATCTCAGTTACCATTTCATATAAAAAGTGCAGTGAATGTCGCTATTAATCTTTTACAAAAAAAAAAATGTCGTGACACTTTACCTGTGTCACCCTGTGTATAGGATGTAAATAAAATGAGTGGCTACACTTTGTTATCGTATTCTTTCTAAGGACGGAAAAAAATTGTGATCGCAGAACCGGAACCTTTTTCTTTCCAGGATATAAAAACTCTTTGTTTACACTAGGATTTACATAATAACAGTGGCTATTATTGTCGAACTGATTTACTACGACGTACATACGTAACTTCAATGTCAGATCGACTCGTTACTATACCAATTTTTCTGATTCTACGTATAGCAATTATTCTTCTAAAGTTTCAATATAAACAACAAGCGTCTCGATCTCAACGACAAAGAGGAAAAAATCATGACAATTTAAAAACCTCAATAAGAAAAGAAGTCACTTGCATGTATGCCTTTTCGTAGTAGTTTACAGTGAACAAAATCTCTATTCATACAACAGAAAAATAACAAGGATATTATTTATTATTGTTTCTCATTGCTAGTATAAATCCGTAGACGAGATATCTCGTGTCTTAATGAAAATATACACCGGATATATCCTAACATCACACGAATGATATTACTTCCAACACATCTTCCGTACGTAATAAAAAGCGTTAAAATGCACATCACGCTCTCGTCGCCTTAAATTTCTGTTAATTTGTTCGTTCGCTTGCTCCAACGCATAAATTTCAACGCTTGACCAATTGACTAATTTTAACACCTTGCTGTATTATTTTGAATATCACCCTAGCTTGTTCACCCTAATACAGTATGTGGGATGTATTCGCAATAATTTGGAATTCCCTTTCGAGGGAAATTGCTTGCAACCCGAAATTATCCACTCGATTAAGCCGGTTGCTTGCTGGGACCTCGTTACTCTTAAAACTACGCCCGCTGACTCCTCGTTAACCTCGTCGTTAACGCGTAGTCAGATTCTCGTTCCGCGGGCAATTAAGGCTGAATTTCTCCGAACGTCTAATCAACGGAGGGGCGAGTATAGTGGGTGTCTCTAGCATCGCAATTTCTTGCGGATCTACTCTTATACTCGAGGGACCGTTTCGCACGCCGAAGAAGACGCTTGACAATGATTTTTACGATCGCAGCACGATACGGGGTCGTGCTCGGAACGGTGAAATTGCGAATCAGCGATTGGAAACGGCCGATTGATATGTTCGGCTCCGATGCACTCGCCAGAGGAAAAAGTAAAGCTCGTCGATCGTAAATCATTTGAAAGTGTTACTGGGCTTTCTTCGGTGAAGCAAGAGCTTAATCCGAATCTGGATCAAAACTTGAACGTGGCTCGCGTGAAATGACAATGATACCAGTTAATAATTTATTATGGCGAATGGTGTTACAAGCGTGTAGGTTCTTTAAAAGAGATATGTACATGTATATAGGGTGTTTCCTTTATATTGGATATCTTACGATCAGTTACTTTTGCCGTTGTAAAAAATTGTGTCAGGGTGATAGTTAATTGGCTCGGATGAACGAACATTGTAGTTCGCGACTTGTACTTTGCTTGTATTTAAACGGAACTGTTAATTTTTTTTTCTTATAAGCTGTGCCTTTTCGCTATCTTTAGCTTAAAGAGCCAAGGATTATGGAAATGAAACGAATGGGTAAAATAGCACAGCTATAGAGGCAAAAAATGACGATTAAGTTACGTAAATCGGAGTCGCGCGATTCGACCCGCATTTCGTTGCGACAGAAAAACAATTGCAGTAAATCAGTGTTTCTGAAACAGCTAGAATACCAGAATCGTACTATACTCGTATTCGCTTCTGATTCAACATCTAGTTTATACATACGTACATAGTTTACTATAATACTTTGATGCTTTGATCGTTCTAAATTAGCGAAGAATCACTTTCAATTTCATCTCTTCTTATCGTCCTTACTTTATTATGTAATCCCATTTCGTAATACCTGATGAATAAAAAATATACACTAGCTTTCGATAAATTAAATAACGTTACTTTATTCTTACAATGAAAATACACGATTTGTGTATACCCCTAATCTAAAATTTCATTTCTATTTTGAATATTCGGATAGTAGAAAAAATGATTACCGAATAAAATAAACAATTATAAGAGCATGCTGACTCTATTCTAAAAGAATTTGGAGAATTTTTCACGCGATATAAAAATACAAATATCGTTTTTTGTTTAAAAAAAGTATCTTCGGTTATATAAAATAATA